TCCAGAACATCGTTGGAACTCAGCCCAAGGCGGGCCACCACCGGTAACGCCGTGTGTAAGCTGGAAATCGAGACATACGCTGGCGCTGGGGACGATTGCGGCCGCGGGTTTGTTTATCTCCAATTCTACGTCGCTAAGTAAACTCCGCGCAGGCGCACTAGTAATGGCGAATAGGCTTATTTTCTGGCTCTGAAATGCTGTTTCCTGTATTTTGAGGGACAAATTTTGCTGGTAGACTAAGCTTACTTGAATGACATCTATTTCCATCTTTTTTTACCGGGTGGGCAAAACTTATGTCTGTCACAAGCAGAAAAATTCCATCAAATAACAAAAAGATGGACATTGGCTTGAACACTGGCTAGAATACTGAGCTTAAGACATTGAAGTATTTGCGAATCAAAATGAAGTCGCAACTTTAGTTAAGGTGGATTAAATTCTCACCTTAAAAGGAATTTTGGAAATCTTGCGTGTCTGTTTTCTGGGTGAGCGCAGGAGTTTCTGTGACTTTTTCCCCACAGGAGAGAGGGAGTATGGAGAGAGGTGGTCTGTGTTCTCTGGACTCGCCTGTTTGGCTGTCAGATGATATCTATACATACATGGGGAAACAAAATGTGTTTAATTAACTTAAAGCCATCCAATGCAATTTCAAGAATTGATTGCTAAAGAATGACCAAAAAATTGACTTTGAAAATCAGATACATAGTAGTTTTCTGCATTCAGAAATTTGGAGACATGGGGACTGAACCTACCTGAATAAATTTCTTTTTTCTGGAGTGGTGGGACTTAGGACACCTCTTCTGTCTTCTGTCTGTTCTTTCAAGTCTTCTATGCCAGCTCCAAGGAGTTCGTTCTTTAGTAGACAAGTGTATGCAAGGCCGTCTGAAAGAACAAAGATGATAGATATATAAGTTTTGAATGCTTATCAGCAACAATATCATGAAAATCTACAAAAAAGTACATACTAACAGTTTATCACGAACATCATGACATTCAAGTGGCATTCATAATGTTTCTAGTACACATGTAAATTCTACTTTCTTCAAAATCTTAGCTTTTTCCTCTTTTCAAAAGTACCAAAATCAAATCTACTATTTCGCAATAAAGCTAATTATTACAAATTACTTCTTTTCAAATTGTTATTTCCTTACCTTTTCCGTTGTCAGAATTAGCTTCTCTGGCTTTGCGTGCCTGTCCCGATGTTTTCTCGTACATGCCCTGTATACTGTTGAAGCCAATCTCCCAGTTGGCACCTGCCCGACTCGGTATAAAGCGGTCGCCATACTTGTCCTTACTTGGAGATGACACAGGACTCGTGCCAAGGGATTCTCTTCCAGCCATTGGGCTGATTGGCTGGAGAAATAAACAAGTTACAGTATGTAAGAATCATTGAATCACAATTGCAAAACACAAGGGTTATCAGTTAGGTTTCTAAATGTGTTTTCAAAATCAAATCTCTTCTAGAAATTCTGAATGATGTGGATGAATACAAAATCATTAGAATTCAGGAGAAGAGATTAGAAGAGATGATTCATTCTCTGGTAGGATAAATAAGATGATTTGTGAACATAAATGCTCCAAAACAGTTTTGACCCTTTCTGTTCGCAACCAGTCTAACTTTGGAGATGGCCTGTTGATAACGTCAACCATTTTGAGCATAGATGCAAGTTTGTACCATGGCCAAAAGATGCATTTAACATTTCAGTTTGGTTGTACCCAAACTTTTCCTGAGAATCAAGTACTACCACACAGTAAGAGGATAACAAGCAGGTGCTTTTTCTAGTTTCGTTTCCTATAAGTATTACCATAATACCGTATAATGCATGAGGTATTCATAGTCATACATAACACATAGTGGTGAACAGCAGCTGTTTATTGCAGCTAATACAAGCAGTTGTCATGCATGATTTTCTCAGCTACACACTACATCAAGCCCCCATGGGATTATTCAAATTTATAGACAACTGTCAACAAAGAGCTGTCAAATCGTCTTTGTTACAGCCACACCTGTTGCCTACGATACCAAAAACATCATATTTGACCAAAGACATGCCTTTTTCCCCAAAAGGTGTGCACAAACAAAAGAACGTGTTGCTCGAACATGCCAAGAATTTGTAAACAAAAGCATTGGTGGCTACTATAATTTGGCTAGCAATAACATATCAACATATTGTACCTGACCTGTCCAGAATTTAGGCCAAGAAAAAATATTATACAATCATATCAAGCAAAACAATCGTGCAATGCAGAACCCTGGAAGCACCCAACAGCTAAAAATACACACCCAAGGCATAAGTCAAATTTAGACACTGGCAGCTGTTATATATAAACTGTATATACATGTATATATTAAAATACACACATGCCACAAAAGACTTACCGAGCTTACTGGTGACGCAAAGCAATTTTGTCCGTTCTGTTGCCTTAAAAGTCTCCTTTCGTAGTCCTGGTCCATTATCAAATTGTATTTATGGTCCGTACTGTTCACAGAAAAATATGGTTTAGATAGACTGGACTGGGGATCAGTTAGTATGAACCACTCCTATCGCCTGCTCACCAAAAAATCAGCTCGAGAGCTTGAACACAGTCAGACCAGGTCCTGGCCGATATTTTCCAGAGTCGACCCACAGGAAAGAACCACGGCGGACAGAAGGATGTAAACAGCCTTGCAAACGACGTACTTCGATGTTTTGACGGCGGCTGTTTTTGTTGTCCCTTCGCCGGTCGAGCACTGAGGCCCTGTCGTCTGTCAACAAAAATGGTGGACGGACGCTTCCAGCTTTTCTTCCTTCTCCGCTGCTTCCCCTTTCCCGATATCCCGGCTTAACCTGGTAAAATCCAAACCCTGGTCGTACCTTGATGTTTTCTGACGAAACTGGGCGAGGAAAGTCGTCCAAAATGTGTCTTTTCTTCGCGACAATCCGTCCCCTCCCTCGAGCGGCACAGAAATTCGAACCCAAGATGGCACCCACGCGAAAAGCGTCACGGGAGTCGGCAATCTCCGGCAATCCTCGTCACATTCCGACGGAATCGCTCGGGATAGTTCGGCAAAGTCCGGAACAAAAATTACTTCTTTTGATTCTTTTTGCACGAATTTTCCCATTTTCACCTTCTAAGAGCAGCGAATTAAAATATACACTAAAAACTTGTAAAGTAAATTACGAAAATTACGTCGTAATTCATATGATTTGAAAGTAGGAAGCGATTGGTTCCCTGGTATCGTAGCAACGGGTTGTTTACATGCTACGTCAGCTGTGTAAACAGATAGGCGAAGTCCTTTTGTTTGGGGCCCTTTTCAGTCGCTTGGTGCTAGATTCAAACAGCAACGCCGCGTGTACCAGCCAAAACACCGGCCGACTCAGGTAAGTGAAGACCTCTCATTGATTCCAGAACCACTCCAGATCATATCAGATGGTGTGAATTGCCTTTATACGGCTATTTCAGCCTAAAATTCGCGAAACCTTTCGAAGGCAGGTTGGCACTTACAATATGGCGCGCTTCCCAGGTTAATTTGCTCACTGCATAGCGTATCGTTTACAACCCAAACATGGAAAGAGCCGGATCTATGACTATGGTCCCAGACGCGTAGCTGTCATTGCCTTGTTAACGCGAAAAACATACGAGTCTTACGACTGTATTTGGTTGTCAAGGCAAAATTTCAATGCTTTTGATAAAGTTCCAGTGCTTTCTTTAAAAAAAGATCGTACAAGTTTCATTAACCGGGCTATTTTAATACCATAAAGGTGAAATATGATGCTTGTTATTAGTGTAAACAGTAGGCCACCCCATGGCGCGTTGGCAAGCAATTTAAGAAAACAACCCGATCTCACGTACAAGTTAGAACATGTAGATTATAAACCTGGCCAGTTTAAAATTCATACTTTGAAATTCACTTGAAATACCAATGTTAAGAGTTAGACATTCAAGTTTCTTTCAGTTGGGATTTTTTTTCTTGCATATGTTTTGCATTGAATGATTAAGTAAATTTAATCATACACAGCTTTACAGGGCCGTATAACATGTCCAGTGTGTGACTATATGTTTTTGAAGTAGTAGTAGTAGTAGTAGTAAGCCTACTAAATAAAGTAAATTATGTTATTCCAGTTTCGGAAACTAACACCTGCTGTAGTGCTTGGACCACTGTGTGGCCCAAGGGCTATAGAAAATGGAGAAGGCCCCAGCCCTATACACCAAAATATGTGTGTGTGAAGGATCTTAAATTATCTGCTATTGTGTTATTACAGAAAAGTTGTTGACAATCCCTCTGAAGGCGTGACACATCCACAAGATGGCAACCAAGGCAGCACAGCAACCAGCTAAGGACCCCATCAACATAGTTCACCAGCATGCCATCCTGTGTGAGACCATCAAAAAGGAAACACTCAACCAGAAGCTCTACACCAACTATAGCATCAACCCCTTCAGAAAATGTAAGAACTTTGTTTTTAAAAAAATTCTTCTGTAAAAGTAGTACATGGAAAACCAGTGATGCTTTTTTGAGCAAAAATAATCAATGGCATCCATTTCTGTTTGTACATTAATTTTGTAACCAAAAAAAATCAGACCTATCAATCATTTGGATCCGTGAACACAGTGCTGCATGTACAATTTACTCAGAAAAGAGAGAAAAACACAAAAACAAATACTAGTACTAGACTCTGCGCTGTATCCGTTTTCTAGAAAGTGCTTTTTCATGGACTGGTACGCCTGAATTCTTTGACTCTCATTTTACAAACACACTCTGCTATGGAGAATGGAGCTATGAAGTGTCCTTGAAGGGTACTTAGAGGTCAGCTAGTTACACAGGTCGATGCGTTTGACAGCGACTGAAGGCAGGTTGTTTGAGGTAGTCTGTTTGAAGTAACTTGGGAATCTCTAATATTGGAATACTATAATGTTTTTGGCTCTAAAGCTAAGCTTATACAAAATGTATTTCATATCTAAAATAAAAATGGCATCTAAGCACTCTAGCAAAAAGGATTGTATTATCTCAGACACAAACTTGACATGTACATATATGTACACAGTGTCTCTGGTACATTCTAATTATCATACTTTTTATGACTCCACATATACATGTAATACCATTATTAACTTGCCATACATTGTTGTTGGCATCCTTTTCGTCTCTTGATACATTGTATCCATTACAAAACTTGTGCAAAAAATTTGATGGTTTGATAATTATAACACTCTTTTTCCTGTTTTTTTTCCAGTGTACACTCTAACAGGGAAACCAAACTCCACACACGATTCTGCTGATGGCGAGGAAGATCGTAAGAAAACTTTTTTAAACAAATTTCCAAACTCAAAATACTCAAATTAGTATATGAGCCAAATGCAATAGAAAAGCTTAATGTTTAAGGTAAATCTTGTGGTGTTTTTTGCAGTTCTTGCCATCACTACTCAACTGCAAACTGACATCAAACCCACTGACACTAGCATTTCCAGATATTGCTTCCATTGTTTTAGCCACAAGCTCAAAGATAATGCACCCTCGTGACTTTTGCTTTGCTACAAACGGGCGGCTGAGTGTATACTCAACATGTTAACAACAGAATCAAAGAAAGAAATGTAAAACGATGCAGTTAAAAAGAGAGGGCAAACTGTGCTGGATAAATGAGGTCAAGTAATCCAGTCTTGAATAACAATTTCTCTGTTTCCAAAACAATGTCACGGTCTCTAAAACTAAGGAAATGCAACAATGGCTCCTCTGTTCAATGGAGACAATTCCAATAGCCCCTGTTCCCCTAGAAACAACACCAAGGCAAGAACATCCAAGTAAAATGTCCTCCCACATTTTGATAGTAGTGTACTAGACACACTTTAACCAAGCAAGAACAGGTTCCGCAGCTTTAAAACATTTGGAATCTTCTGAAAAAAGTCAGTTAGTCAATTTCAGATTATATACATTTGAGTTGTCAAAAAACATGCAAAAAGGAATAACAAATGAAAGCAGCTAGTCATGCAGACCATAATCTAAAAAAAATGTGAACAAATCTTTAGGTTACACAGCAGAACAAAACACATCCGGTTGAATGCTTAGAAGGAAGCATAGTTTCCTAGGGAACACAGTGCATTAAGGGATAAGCACCAGTATAACAAATCCACCATTATAGCAGTGTGGTACTGGGAACCCATTTACAATACATGTATAAGATTTCACAGATGTGCACAGTGCATATCAGATTAACATTTGACAAGATGGAAATTCAGAACGAAACACATTTTAACCCAAGTCAAACCCAATAAATTTAGTGTCAAATTTAGACTACGGAAGTCATATGCTATATTGTTATCGATTATCTGTCTCTTCTTCTTTCATGTTCAGTTGCTTTCACAGGGCAAAAACTTGCAATAAACATTATGCATGTAGTGCCATAGACAGTCTCCAGTTTTGACAGTGTCCCGTGGGACACCTGTAGTCATTAGCAACTTAAACAAGCAGAAACACCTGTTCCTGAGCATTGTACACCTTGTTTGACTCATGTAGTTTTAAAGGAGACCCCCTGAAGGGACCTCATTACTCTGATACAATCACTTTATGTCAATAGAAAATCCATTGTGACTAAAATACATTATACATAGGCTTGGTTGTACATGGAGTATTTTTGGGTCCCAGTTCCCTTCAGTAAACCTACATGTAACAAAGTCAATAGACTTGAAGCCTGAGCAGAGCAGAGCATTCTTAAGTGTAAAAGGAGATTCATTCCTCAAGCTAACTGACATCACACTGCATTCATCCCCAAGTAAGACATCTGGAACCACATAAGATTTTTCTGTGTTTGTGGTTTGCTACATGCCCATTGGGCCCCTTTGAAACGTTACTAAGGGCATTATGAAGGCAACAGTTTAACAATTTTTGTCTTGTTCCCTTTCTGCAGCACAATTCCTTAAGATCATCCGCCGGGCACACAAGGAGCCTGAGAAGAAGTTCATCTTCCCTCAGACCGAGGCTCAAGAAATCGGCTGGATTCACAAGCCTTTGGTGAGCACAATGTCTTGTAGAAAAATTGTTTTCAGATTGAATGATTAGATTATTTTTTTGGTGGAGATTTCATTATTAGGACAACTTCCTTTTGAAAATTTGAGAGGGTTTAGGCCACAGCAATTTGATTTGTTGGTTCTCAGATTTTTTCAGAGAAAATATGAAGCAACAGGGAAACAAAAAACATAAAACAGACCTAGGCATTGTCTGATAGCCCCAAAGGCTTTAGATGTATGGGAAAACTGTAACAACAACAGTACTTTTGATGATAATCTGTATCTGTATTGGTATAGCCGATATAACCGCCCTTCAGCGTAACACACCAGCTTCGCAGGCACACAGCGTGGCAGCTGGCTACATTATACCAAACAGCTTGTTACACCTAACCCTTGAACATCTAAATCTAGACATTGTTTAAAGCTATCTAATGATCCTTATCTGTTCTACAGATAAAGCAAGACCGTGAGGACAGACGACTACACTTTCCACGCCAAAACTCGGAGATTACAAAATACATGGACGCAGCCTGGAGGCTAAAGGAGCAGACAGAGAACTTACAATAGACAATCAGACTACCAGTTTAGCTTTGTAAATTCTGGACAGTGATGACAAACAATTATCTAGCTTATCTGTAACACACGTACTTTGTAAGTACAGGACATACAATCAGACGACCCCTAGCTTTGTAAATTCTGGACAGTGAAGACAAACAATTAATATATTTAGCTTTGTAACACAAGTACAGGACATACATTGTACAATCAGGCTAGCTGCTTTTGACACAAGTACAAGACAGTGAACTCAAGTCAATAGTTGATACAGTCAAACTAGCTTTGTAACACAAGTACAGTATAGCATAGACCATTGATACAATCAGACTAACTTCATAACACAAAGATTACTGTAGAAGTTAGATGTAAGGACCTGGGATTGAATAATTCTTTCACACTGATGCCAAAGTACAAAAAATTGTACATATTTATGCTATAAATACAATTGCATAGAAGCAACACACTGTTATGTTTTTTAACAAACTCAGAATTGGTTTGTTATCTTCTCAACTTTTTATCATATATGTTGTATTGCTAGTTCATATTTCATTGTGAAAATTAATCCGACTTTTTGTGATGCTCCTTTTAACATTTTGGTGGGGAAAATAAATTAAGTTGTAATGATAATTGTTGGGAATATAAAATCTAAGTGAATTGGGAAGAATATGCATTTGTGAGCCTCTGTTTAAATGAAACTGTAGGCCTACATGAAAGTGGTACCTTGGGGCATTTTTAAATGTACATAAAACCCAAAGGATGTATTTTACCTTTTATAAGGCACGTGCCAAGTAGTAAATATTCTAGTAAGGAAAAAGAACAATCATGATAATTTTGCACAGAAAACAATCCACATATAAATAGATTTACATTGCACTGTTACCCCTTTTTCAAGAGATAAAATTAATATCTGTAATGCCATTTTATAGTGTCCTTTTTGCATACACTCATTGGATGTATATTATCTGTACATGTGTGAATTCTTTACTACACAATAAAATGTGGTACAAAAATACAGTGTTGGTCTCTGTAACTAAATCGTGTAGCTAAAAACTAGCTAGGCACTTGTTAACATGTTATCCATATTGCCAAGGATTTATAGAAGAAAGCTAGTGATGCATTTTTAGCAAACACAACTGACTCCTAGAAAAAAATTTGTCCTTTACATCATTCTGATAAAATTATGCTGTTATCTGTAAAAAAACTACCTCAAGGCACTTGTTTATGAAATTATCCATATGTTTCAGAAGAAAAATCTAATGTTTTCCTTTCTTCCTTCTGTTGCGTTTCTTCTTGCTCTGCTCTGACGACATAGCACTTCCAGACAAACTCTTTGGCTTGGTGCCTCCATCCAACATTCCCATAGATTCAGATCCTGTTACATGTATTAACGTTACCTTCTTCTGAGTTTGATAATCTGATTGTTGAAGACTTGTTGATTGGTTGTTACGATGTGTTTCCCAAGACTGCCTCCCAAACTCATCTGATTCTCTAAATGACACAGGGTCAACAGTTCCCATAGATTCTGGTCTAACTGCTTCCTTCTGTGTTCTGTAACCTGGTTCATGAGAAGTTTTTGACTGGCAACGATGGTGTGCTTCCCAAGATTGCCTACCAAACTCACCTGATTCTCTATATGACACAGTTTTAAGCGTTCCAGGCATAGACACAGGTGTACTAGCTTCCTGTGTTCTGTTAGCTGGTTCTGGAAAGGATCTTGGAGTTTGTGGTTGACACCGATGCTGTGTTGTGCCAGATTGCCTCCCCAACTCCCCAGCCTGCCCGTGTGACACACAGTCCTTCAGTAGCCGGAAAAGCTGCCATCGTGACTCCTGGGGAATATTGATACATTATAGAATTCATGAAACAACTGGTTGTAGAGAAATAATGCTGATACAAGTGTACCTGTGTTTGTCAGATTGGACCACACATGTACTGCCTCTCGCAGCTATGTGTAGCCAATGGAGTGATGAACTGGTTTGTACAGTACACTAAGTACAAACTGCGTAATACCAGACTAAGGTTCTTCACTCACAGGTGAAGGATCCTACTCTTTTCGATAAGTGTGGTGGGTGTTTACATGCTTGAGGTGTGGCTCTCCTCAAAATTGGGACTTCTATCCCATCCAAGAGGACATCCCTAACCAAAGCTAGGTACTCACTTTCACCTGAATCAAGCGTGGAAATCTGTGTTCTGCCTTTCCCAAGGACACAACAGTGGGGCCTGTTAGGGATTCAAACCTAGAACCTAATTGAATTAAATTTTTGAGTTAACGATGATAACCCTAACCTCAAAACCCACTTACATGAAATAAATCAGCTCTACTAGTACCTACATTTCTTCCACACAAATCCCGGGCCCCAGTTCCACCCCTAACCAGGAGGTAGACGTGGTGGAAAAACTTCCCATCAAAGAACCCCCAGGGCAGGCAGGACTCCATGGTGAGGGGCCAGCCGCACGCACAGTTCATCGCTATGGCAACAGCCACGCCCTTCAGGAATAAGGCAGCCAGCTGCACTGCCCGCAGGTCTACTGGGACCTAGGTGTCGGAAATGGAAAAAAGGGAATTTGTTCATCTTCACTCATGAAGATGGGACTTCATCTTGTGGTATTGGAAAAGAAGTCTTTCACAGTGTTTAAAGCAACAGTTGAAACAATTTAGTTGGCATAATCTTTGGCTGCAAGACAGTATTAAATTGGCAAGACAGTATCTTTGGTAGGACATTATCCAAAATAACACCCAAAGTTTGCCTGGCAAGAAAAGAAAGCACAATAAAACACCTGAAAACATTTCAAAAATAATCTCATGTACTGAAACGTAAACATCTGCTTGGAGAGGGTGTTCGCATACCAGGTCAGTTTACCATCACTTACCATCCTCCTCCTGAATTTGTACCAGTCAGGTAGAGGAGGGCCTGTATGAGGAAGGCATCCACCTCCCAAACCCCCAGCACACCCTCGCTCAACATGTAGTGCAGCACCACAACAAGAACCTGGGGAGGAAGACACAGAAATTTATATCAGCAACAAGTGGGAACAATTTATCAGATTAGTAAATAATTTTATACTGTAGAATACAACACGGTGTATTCCGTATCACCCAAGGCCAAAAACCGAAGGGTGGGCTGGGACCGAGGGTGATGTGGAATGCACTGTGTTGTATTTCATTTATGTCATACCCACCCAAAAAATACACAATACAATGTGAAATGTGCCAAAATTTGGTGTCCCTAACAGAAATTGTAACTTATACTCAAATGACCGAAAGCGGCACATTCGCATACCTTGATGTTCTTAGTAGACTGGCATGGCCTTTGAGTTCTCTGTAGTTGTAGTGCATTTAACCTTAGCTGCTGCTGCCTAACCTCTTAGAACAGATTTGGTGCCAAAAAAAAGCTACCTTAGCAGGCTGAAGGTTAAGGAAATTTTAAGGAATAATCTCTGCAGTAGTGACACAAAACAAATCGTACCATGAGGTTCTTAGGGATGGCCTTGGATCTGTCTGTAGGTATGGTGCAGAACATGCCAGCCCTGAAAGCCTTCCATCGCAGAGCAACAGTCCTTACACCCGGCCCAAACCACAGCGCCTCTAGTGTAGGTGTGCCCCCTAGAGAACAAAAGGTGCATTGCATGAGGTTTGGCAGAATGCCCCCAAGCTTCCAACCTTCTGAAAACTACATATTATTCTTGTTACCAATCACTTCACAATACATGATCTGGGACAGTCTTTTAAAGAATCAGTACCCAAAGTTATATAATGGCAACAAAACCTTTTGACTACTTACCGGGCCACCAGCTCACAAACCCAACACACTAACCACAAGGCTAAAAGGTCTGGACCAGTTGGACTGGCCAGTTAGTGGCACTTGCATCTCACTGTTACAATTATTCTTAAAAATTGGTTTATCAACATTCCGAAAATGATCTTAGATGCAACACAGTAACCAAGTATGGAGTGAAGTGGTGGAAAGCTGTATTCAGCACCAAGGACAGGTCCAACTCCTAGCAGCTTGGTTACTATATGTAGTGTATAGTCCTCCAGTGTGGTGTATACATGTATATGTTCTAGAATTCAGATAAAATGGCAAATTTCAAATCAAGTTTTCACTCTCCACTAAATTTCAATGATACCAGGAGGAGAGGGGGATATTAAAAAGTAAGAGATTCAGGGCTAGTACAGACTAATATTGGAGCAAAATTTCGAATCTATATCAACAGTACAGCTGCGAGTACGAGTCAATCTGTGCATTATTTCTAAAGATTAAGAACTAAATGTTTACCGGGCATGTCCAGAGGCTTGGCCAAGATGATGTCAGGTTCTCTCAGCTCCGCCCCAGGATGTGCCGACCAATCCTTGGCAGCGTTATGGCCGACGACAATCTCCTCTCCACCAATGACAAGCCCCGACATCTGCCTGCTGCACTGGTCAACTCCTGGGGCTGTTCCAGTTAGCTGTTTCACCCCCACCCCGTATAGGACCCCATGTAGCTTCTCCCTTATGGGCCTGTAGAAAACAGAGGCGGGAGGGATGCCACTGTCTGCCTCCTCCAGGTGAACTCCACTGTCCCCCTCTGCTACTGTCAGGATCTCGTAAATTGCTGAAGAAGTAAAATAAAAAAAGAAACATGAGAGAACACAATATATTTCATCCATACCATGGTATGGACTGAAAAAAAATAAACATATAACTTTTAAGTGTCAGGATAAGTACAATTGAACCAGTCAAAACTGAAAACATACAGTACACTCATTCTGGTAATAAATAATCAACATTAAGGACAATCATTAGAATTTTATGACTAATCAGAATTGAGAACATATCCATGATTTAATGAAATTCTTAACAATCTTGACCAACTAATTCTGGTTTCTTCAATTTACCTTTAATGTTCTCTGTATTCTGGTGTCTCCGTTTGGCTTCCTGTAGAATTTCAGCTGAGATGTCTGGTCGAACATGTCTGATAGGACACTTTGAATTCTTGTCCAGCTTTGTTTCTTCAAGTGATGGCGCTTTATTGGGCATAGACACGGGCATTGACCATTTTGTGCTTTGACCAGGTAAAATGTAGGACAGCAAACCTTGTACAAATAGCTCTATAGCTTTGCCTTGGGAAGGGAAAATTCTACGAGCAATATCAGGAATAGTAATATCCAGAGGTAGGTCGTTGATAAATCTGGCTAGAGCTGGAATAAGCTGTGATCCTTGTGCTACTCTAGAATGAAATTTTTCCAGCGTTTTGTAAGAAATCACATCGTTGCCAAGCAAGCACGAGAAAAGTGGCAAGTCCGAGCGGTTGAGCCCGAGATGGTCGCACAGCACATCTACGCGGTACCTCACCGTCATAATGTCATTTCTCTGCCTCTTGAGATTTTGAGCAGAGAAGTAAGATGTAGTACCCATGTTATAGATAAGAAAGTCGCTGTCTTGGCTGAGGATTCCGAAACAGTCTCCGGAGAGAGCAAACTCTGCGATCTCTCGATCTGCCTCCACGGAGGAGTGGTAGACACGGGCACCAAGACTCTTCAGGCCAAGTCCAGCGAACATCCCTGTACCTGTAATTACGGTAATAATAAAAACATGGGAGTTAAAGGGCAGCAAAACAAAAAAATAGTTAGCCTCCTGTGCAGGCCTCTGAGCGGGTGCACATTTTAATACTGCATTTTCAAGAATTGTTTACAGCATTCTTTTGACAAAACAATTCTAAATGTTTAAACAGATCTACAGAACAGTCAGTATAAAACACGCCGGCTTGGAGGCCTGCACAGGAGGCTAACCATTTCCATTACAACATGACCTATTGAATTTGTCCATGAGGAAACACAGACACACACACAGACACACACACAGACATACCAAAAACAATACCTCCATTTTTCACGAAGGTAAAACCATCCCTGTACCTGGCGGAAGATGAAGAAGACCTCGATGAGGCTCCTTTCCGGTCGCTCTGATGTGCTGGAAGATTTTCTTTACAGTTTTGAGCTCAGTTTTGATGCGGGAGATCCACACGGGCCGCTTTGATTTCTCCACGACACCGTCGAAGATAAACACGACTTTGATCCCAGCCGACTGAAAGTCCTGTACGAACTTTCGCAGGGAGGTTAGGTACTCCTGCCACTGTCCGCCATACACCCAGGCCAGCCCGCCGTGGTAGAAGTGGTCACGTAGACAGCTCAGGCCATCCACAACAAGCACTGGTGTCTTCCCGTGCTCGGCTCGGTAGTCTTGGGCCAGGCTTCTAAGGCTCACCTTTTCACAGGCATGCGGGCAGTTCTTCTCCACATAGGTTTGCAGTCCCTTGACACCCATGGTATCTATAGAATAAGACAAGAGTAAAAATAAATATTTGTATTTGTTTTGTTTTTTTTAAATTAATTTGTGAAATCAATGAGAGTAAAAAAAAAGATACAGACGTGGAGCAATGTAATCAAGATGAACGAAGAAACAACAGTTTACCTTTAGGTATTCGAAGGTCGCCTTCGTGTGGTCTTCGTGTACGGTTGTATTTTAGCGCCCCCTTTCTTCCAGTTGCTAACTGCAGAATTAGGTCAACCCCACCGTTGCATAATAATTTGCAAGGATAGGGTGCCCCTTACATGTTCTGTAGAGCCTCCTTGGGCACAACAAATCAAAACAACATCGGAAAGGTTACAAATAATGCATCTGGGTTCGAAATACTTTGTAAAAATCGCCCAAATGAAGGGCAAAATACCGATAAAGTTGGAGTCACTTGCAACAACACACATGTCGCGGCACCCTGGACGATTTTCGGCGTCATTTTGATACTTCTGGAAAATCTGGAAGCAACAGCATGAAACACTTGCCAAGTTACCTCTGTAAGACTTCCATAAACATGTCTCCGTTTGTTAAAAACGGCGTTAATCGTGCCGGTTATTCATTTTCAGGTCTTACGAGTACCGCCACGGTACAAGGACGCCACTATTGGTTAGCGGAATAAATCAGAACTGCAACGGAGAGGTCAATTTCGTAACGTGGATGCTGATTGGTTGATCAAAATCAATTGACCAATAAGTTGAGTGTTGATTGGCTGCTGACGGACCAATGGGTACATTCAAGAGATTTATAATCAATGGCATGACATTTACAACGTGTACTCTGATTGGTTGGATTTCTTTGGTACTTCAGTCAGTCCGAAGCACTAATATCATCAGCTGCTAGGGGTCGCTTTTGTACTGCTACAAAATAGTTTCAAGATGGCTGCCGCCGTAGATTCGGACGCGGAAAGCGTGGAAAGTTTTTCGGGGTCTGACGTCTCCGACAAGGAGGTAAGGAACTAAACACTATACCGCGTTCTTAATAAAAATGTATACAGGCATTACTGTAGGGTGTAATGTGTCAGAGGCTTTCTCAGATTTTCAAAAACGCGTAAGTAAACCATGAATGGGGGAGGGGGGCAGCACGCATGTGGGGACTTGCATCACGTGTTGGTTTGTTTGGATTCAAAAAACGTACCAAATCCAACATATTTTACCACGAACAGAATTTTAGCGTTGTTTGCACATACTACTAGTATCGTCTTGAACTAAGGGGAAGCGATCAGATCATTTCAGAAGGGGGAACTAGAGTTAGAAATCAACGTAAACACTTAAAACAGGCTGGATTCTTGGCTACTATATATATACATGTAACTTTAAGTTCTAGTAAAGTGTAGTTGTCACTTTATGACGCCTTTGTATTCTTTCAGTTGATGGAGGCTTACAAGTCCGGCCTTCTGAAGCCTGGTCTGAACATAGAGGTGTCAGAACCCAGAAAACACATCAACAATGTGGTGCGTTAACAACATTAACCTAGTTAGTGAAATAATTAACTATCAACACTCCAAATTACCAGTGATGGTTTGATTGCCATTTCCCTAAAGGGGTTCATATTTAAATCTTATATGATTGCAAGGTAACTTGTTGGAATATGTCAGTGATCACTGTTTTTGTTTACATCATACACCATGCAGATTATTTGAAGACATATGCAAATTATTTGTACTACTTTTGGTAGGCAAATCAACCAATTGTCAGCCACTTGCTACCTACAGTGATGGCATTGGTTTGTATTGAACCCTTTTAAAACAAGGCAATCAGTGTTGGTAGACTATAGCTAACTCACTGCTTCTATCAGAGCCATACAAAAACTGCATCACACACACACACACACATGCACATACTCAGATATTTAAACCATCATTACCAACAGCGATTGCCTCCAATTTCAGGCTGGTTTGAAGCAGAAACTTGCGGACTTCAGACAGGACCTGGACTGGTTAGAGCGGCTGGACGTCACCACGGACCCCGCGCCCATGCCTGCTGCGATGGCGGAGGTCACCGACATGGAGGCAGCCAAGGCCACCACGGCAAGGGACATGGACGTCCATAATGACTTCCAGAGAGAGATGACGTTGTAAGGACGATTCCTACGTGTACCTACATCTAGTAGTCAGTAGCTACTACTAGTACTAGTACATGTATAAAGGTTATTTGGGGTCGTGTCGTGTAGTTGTGTTTCCAGTTGTCCGTTTTTGTCTCGCCCCTCCCAGCTATCGCCAGGCACAGGCTGCAGTGATGTCAGCCCTCCCCAGACTACAGAAACTCGGCATCCCGACCACCAGACCTGAGGACTACTTCGCAGAGATGGCCAAGTCTGACACCCACATGAAGAAGGTAGAGTCAACTCTGCATTGTTTTCTTGATTGTTTCCTTTTGTGCAGCCTGGTAAACTAGCCGTTCTCTCCATGACACTAAGAATGTGAACTGTGGAACTGTGCACGACCAAGAGCAGGCTAGGCAATTTTCTGGTGATAAGTAAGTTGAATCAACCCTACTCAATTGAACCATTACAGCATTCAGGAATTAGAGGTGCCAAGTTACAAGCGTGTTTGAAAGCAAGTTACCCTTGAATTGTCTTAAAGTTGCACTTGACTTGTCTTAAAGTTGCCCTTGACTTGTCTTGAAGTTGCTTGACTTAACATCTTAACCCCCTCCCCCCAGGTGCGCGAGCGGTTACTGAGTAAGCAGCAGGGTCTGGAGCGAGCGGAGAAGGTTCGGAAGGTTCGGGAGATGAGGAAGTACGGCAAACAGGTGCAGCAGGAGGTCCTGCTGAAGAGACAGCGGGAGAAGAAGGAGCTCATCAAGTCTGTCAAGGAGTACAGGAAAGGTACGGAACAGTCACGGGGGAGGGGGGCAGGATCAAGATCACCTTGAAATTCTCCTAGCCACTAAAGTTCTGACTGTTGCATATATAACATTATATGGTCTAAAAATAACATAGGATACATGTATTTTCTTCTTATACAACCTGTAGTGTATCTCACATGCTTACGTTGAATGTCTATCAGACACACCCATGTGAAAAGTGTGTGATACTGCTATACAGAGGTGTGAATTGATACTTAACTGCCTTGCAACTTAATGGAACTCTTGGAGAGTGTCCTGCCTGAAATGCCTTGTGAAGGTAACACATGAACATTGCAAGTCAATTCTGTAAGGAATTTCAAAGAATGTATTTCTTGGTTTTCAGGAAAGATTGACAGCTTGGACTTCCTCGATGACGAAGGACCACCGAGGAAAGGGCAGCCAGCAGGGAAGAAGGGAGGGTGAGTCAGGATTCATAACAGTAACAGTCTAGCGTCTGTCTTTCCATCATTTGACAGAGTTTTGCCACCCATGACGGACAAAGATTTTGCCCAATCCGTCATCTTTGACAGGCAAAAATTGATGTGTAAAGATATAGAAAGAAATGTCATTAAATTAAGCTAAGTCTACCAGCTCAACAAGGTTGCGGGAGGATCTAAGGTAAGTCTACCAGCAAAATTTGCCTCTCAAAATGCAGGAAATAGTATTTCAGAATTTCAAAATTTTCTCGGGGGAGCATGCTCCCAGACCCAATACGCCTTGGACCTTTGTGCCTCCCACTCAACATGATGATGAAACAAAATTGAGATGACGGAAAAAATTCATGCTAGCCAGAACACTGACAATGGATCAAAATACTAAGGAATCTGCAGGTTAGTGCAGGCTGCCAAGTTATGCAGTTCTCAGGTGATGAACATGTACCTAACCTGCACTGGTCTCTGTTCTGTACTTTTTGTGGTGTACAGGTGTATATAATGGCTACTCCAGTGTGCGGTTTGTTAAATGACAGGATTTTTGCCATTTTGTTGTTCCAGGGCCAACAGAAACTCTAAGTACAAGCAGAAGAAGTTTGGATTCGGCGGACAAAAGAAGCGGAGTAAGTGGAACACAGGAGAGAGTTCAGCTGACATGTCTGGCTTCAAGTCTGGAAGGAAACCCAAGGGTCCTCCTGGAAAGAAGGTAAGGGATAGACCTTTCACACTAAATTTGTAGAAGAGCTTTTATGTGTTGTAAAAATCTTGCTCAAAATACATGTAGTAAAAAAATACACTGACACTGTATAGTAGTAGTGCCAATAGAACTGTTAGCACAAGTTCTGTTCAACAACTAACTTATCAGTCAACCTCGTAACAATTTTGTTTGTTTGTTTGTTTGTTTCAGGGCCAAAAGGGTAAACAGCCGCGGCCAGGCAAGAACAGAAGACAGAAAATGAAGGGAGGGAAGAGAAGATGATAACAAGAAATAGATAACAAGCTTTGATACATTTTATAGTGGGGAGGGGGGCATACGGATCATCAGCAAAGTTTGTTTGGTCCTTCTACGTGAAACAGTGACATAGCTACTCACCACAAAATAAAGACATGATGGAATACTTGAATCTGTGACAAACTCCAAAAGTGTATTTCATTGAAACCTTTACATGACTGTGAAACCTGCTATGTTTAAAGTCTTCGGTAGAATCTCCTTGTTTTCTAGCCTGAAATCCAGGCATACCTGTTCCATTCTACTTGTATCTTCACGTAGGTCAGACCAAAGCTCATGGCCTGATTTCAGGCTATTTGTTTTCACCCCAAACTACATCATGTATAAATCAGAGTTTTCAAACCTAGGGTATATGTATAATATTATGTACAACAATGCAGCTAATTGTACTACATATATCTTCATTTGGCAGATTACATAGATTTGATAAAAACCCACATCTTACTTCAATCACAAAATGAACACGTGTGTAGAAGTTAGAAGAATTCTTTGATGCCTTTTTCAGGCACTTTCTGTCATCTCTACAGTCACAAAGGCACTAAACAACTTTTTAGAATTAAAGTGATGTCTGAATCAAAAATAGCATGAATTATTTCAGATCTACAGAAAGAAAATTTTCACATCTGTACTGATACTGACATTTTAGAATTCAATATGTATCATATCACCCAACAGATCATGCCAGGCTTTCTCGCTACTGCAGTACCATTATCAGTCAGCAGAGGTCCTCATACTGCTGGTCTCTAGGTCAACATTGCTCATGGCAAAGATTGCTTTCAGATCCTGGAAAATAAGATATACAATACAATTCAAGGAAGTTAATTACACACGAAAAAACACAAGGTCTCTCCTTTTCAATGGATGTCACCAAAGCTAAGTCCTCGCTTTTCCGAGTGAAGTGAGGAAATTTCCCACAACCTGGGATTTGAACTCAGAACCTTTAGATTCTGACTCAACCACCATAACCACATGATGCTAACTAGCCACTTGAAGAACACTTTAGAAGATGACATTTACAGTCAAAGTCAAAATATTTTCCCTGCCAGTCTTTTTCAAAATCACAGTATTGTCCCCACAAATTACAAATGTATGTCAAACCACAGTGACCATAATATTCTGCAGAGGTCATTGGTCATCACCATGGTAACGTCTGACTCACCGGCTGCTTGTATCGGAGGGTCATGTGCAGACAGTCCTGCATGATGGGATGTTCCACTAACACCTTCAGGGGGAGGGTCTGGGTCTCCCCTCCCTCCAGCTCCTCAAACATGGTCTCCAGCCTCTCCTGTAAGAAAACAAAACTTAATGAAATTAAGGCTAGGCTTTCTCTCCAACACTGGAATGAATTGGGATTTACCCCAAATTTTCGGCTGACTCCTTCAACCTCGTTCACGAAATTGACCCGTCTACTCTTGAAACGTGAGGTCGGAGACAGGTGACCGTAGTAGTGGGTCATATGTTATTGTAAATAAGAAGAACGCCAGCCAACCATTCGGGAGTAAGTCTGACTCAGCACTTTTTGGGTGTGTTGGGAGTCAAATTTGACTGAAATTTAACTCAAATTTGTTTCGATTGGATATAAAGGTAGGTGTGGCCTAAGTCTTGTCAGGCTACTTCCGAACGTCAGCTGATTCATCAATTCCCAACATACATTCTAGACTATGATTTCTGTCTATGGGCCTGGTACACATGTATCTGCAACTTTACTTCATAAAACCTAACCTTACCCTTGAGAAGGGGTTCTTGGGGTCTGCGGTGACGCTGAAGCGATGGCTGTCCCCGATGGTGCTGACGCCGTGGTACAGCACCTTCAGCAGGGCGTCCAGCGACACCACCGCGTCCGCCGCGCTGTCCGGGATCCCCGCCGCCTGCATGCCGCCGTCTACGGGCGGGCCGGCCTCCTGACGGTCAGACGCAAGGGCACTCAGAGCCTGAAAATAAACATAGTGCAAAACAACTGATTATTACTTTTTGCGTTTGCATGACGTAGTTGATAAATATATCTGATATTCTCCTAGCAGAATCCAAGAGGCTAGCTCTCTGGATTAGAAAATCTACAGTCATGAACAGCTAGAACAAGCAGATATCTGGCAGCAAAAGCAATATGAGGATTTTCTCTAGATGGCCAGTCCTAACCATAATGCTTTTGACTGCTTGGAGATCAACAGATCATGTTTGGGACTGCATCCTTCAAACAGAGACTCAATTCAGGCCAACATTACATTTTTAGTCACAAATTCACAACCCGAGTTTTTTTTCTCCCCTGCCATATACAGGTGTATACTGTATAACCCTCATTAAACTACATTTTGCATGTAATAATATAATAAACACATAATAAAATGCATTAAAAAAGCATATAATCATCATGGGAATCATACGGTGGTGAAATCAAACATTATGCTCATACATGATAAAATGTGGTAATCTATACTGGATAGAGTAAAGTCATGATAGTTGACTCACCTGAGTGAGCTGTTCTGTCATCTTGGCATCCGGCAGACCCTCTGGAGCCTTCTTGGGGAACCTGGGCATGTGTGTCCCGCACGCCACGCTCAGCGCTCGCAGAAAACCGTCCTCCGCATCCGGCACCACCGCAAAATACATCAACTGGGGAAGGGACAACTGGGTTAGGGACCAGGACAACAGACAGAGCCTGTTTGACACAGTCTTAGGCTATGTTGATTTGACTATATGGGTGACATCCACGCACACATGAGCTTTTGTCCATTTCCAAACACTAAAGTTTTGACCATTTTGACCATACTGTAAATTGTACAAAGTAGCTGCAAAATGAGCAAATATATACTGTAAATTGTAAAAAGATATTGGGAAAATGATGCTAATGACGTAGAATGCCAAAATCAATTCCAAACAAAAAGAAGAAAATGTGAAGAAATGAAAAAGAAGGATCTATTATTCGCCATGCTATACTCTGTCAATTTCTCAACCTTCATAACAATGTAGATTTCATAATGAAGAATTGTGTGTGTATTTTATATGTATGTTGTATATGGGCGAGTTATGCCTGAAATAAAGAAATAAATAAAAAGAATGGAGTGTCTATCACCACTAAAACTTGACGGATCATAACCAGCATGAGATGTTACACTCACCATGCTGACAAAGTCCAGGGTAGGGGGGCTTGTGCTGTAGTCTGCGAAGAAGTCAAAGAACGTGTCTCTCAGATTCCCGAGCCGGTCGTACGGTTTGGGCTCCGAAGGGTTCTCTGGGGAGGGGGGCCGCGACATGCCTTTGAACCACAAGTCCACCTGGGAAGGAAGGGCACAAAAACAGCCGTGTGAGACCATATCTAAAACATCGGTGTGAGATCTACCAATTGCACTCAGTCTGGTAAAAAAATCACTTTAGTTAAGTACATCAGGTTCTATAAGCCTGTTTCATGTGAATTGGGACACTATCTAGTTTGAATGATCAAGATTATTGAAATCATGAAAAGAAATTTAAAACATTTTGAAATTCTCAACAAATTTTCTTTGGATTGTAGCACTGATGCAAATAAGACCCCAGTCATAATACAAAATGATAGCTCTGGAAACATTTTAAATTTACATTTAATCAAACCTATAGACATCAAGCTGGTCCTCCTAGTATCCTTTTGTTGTTGTTGTTGAGGGAACTAAAGTTCTAGACACCCTGGTTCCTACCTGCAGGTACTGCTGCTTGGTGATGAAGTTAGAACTGCCTGCAACCGCCCTGAACCGGTCTAGCGTCTCCAGCAGCTCCGTCTGGGAGGGCGTTGGCCAGGGCTGCGCCGCGGCAAGCAGGAACTTCCGCCAGTCGATGTACTCCGAGTCCGGCGCCAACATCACAGTCATTTCATGGAGCTGGGAGGGTGGGGGGAGAAAAACTGGGTAATAGATAGTGTCATGGATCAAAAGTAACTTCACGGATTTTCACACACCCAAATTGAACAAAGAGACAATGCAGTAACTTTACATGTGTTAGGAGAAAGGAGGACACAGAGAAGGCTTGTCCACCCAGGCAGATAACTTGTACTCAACTGACTTTATTCAAAAGCATTGGAATGTGATTGGCTGTTTGAATGTTGAACAGCCGGTATGATCCATTACATATACTAGTATTAATAGATCTACAACAAATGGTAGAATGGTACGACCGGTAGAACTTCTGACAAACTTACGTATGATCACAAACTTCTGAGCGTCTGTTACACAATGTACATAATTATCCTTCCTATGATAGCAACAGAATGAAATATGATAAAAGCATGAGTAGAAAAAGCAGGTCTTTACCTGATGAAGTGTAATCCCCATCCACACATCCGGCAGCAGCTCTTCTCCATGCTGGAAGGAGAATAGACATTTTTTCAGCCACTTGAATATCAGCATTTGGCAAATATTCAATCTATACACACTAATAAGACCCATCCCTGAATTACACACAAATTGGACCAGTGCCCCTGTCCTTGGTGCTGAATGACACACCAACGAATAGACACCTGGGTAACTTACATGTATTTAATGCACTTTGATATAATTAGCTTTTTTCTATAACATTCTTGTCTCTGAGAGAAGCACTCTAGGTTACCACCGTGGCTAATAAGGGTCCAGAGACTGTTCAGACTCACCATGAGAGCTGTAAGGTCCTGAAACAGGTCCATGAAGGCCTTGTTGGAGATCAGACCAGACGGAGCTACCTTGATAAACTGTAGTGTGGACAATGTAGAGAAGATATCATTCACAATGTACATGTAACTTCCAGTATGTATACATAAAACATTTTACATGTTTTTTCATGTATATGTGTCTTCAGTTCAATCCAGTTGCCTGAGTACTGTTTTTGGCGTATCTTATTACCTGGATGGCTAACCTTCACAGACGAAAATGGAAATAAAAAAGATTAATGATGAGTTCTACTCCGTACCTGGTTGAACAGGTTCTTGAGCTGGATGATGGTGTAGACATCAGGCAGGGGCTGTTCCACTGGGTCGGGCCGCGGGGGTGGGCTGGGGGTGCGGAAAACCTTCCTCTCCTCGTCGATCTGGAAGTCCTCCTGTGACATACCCGAAGACTGCAGGGTGAGTGGAAGTGGCAGTTTCCACGTAGATTGTTAGTAAAAAACAACAGAAAAATGTTGCAACAGTTGATATGTCACAACAGTTTGATTATAATAATATTTTTAAAAAGCAATTCTAGAATATCAACTTACATTTGCATGAAAACAGTGTCTGAGAGGAAAGTCTGTATCCTCACAGCATGAAATCCTACCTTTATGAACACCTTAAAACATGCGTAAAGATATGTGCAAAGGAAGAAACAGAACGTTTACACATGCTTTAAGGTGTGCATATTATGAATGGACTGTGTGCAGTGCCTGATACACACAGTAACAGTTACAGCATATAGATACAAGTTTTCCTCCCAGCCCTTTATTTCCATCTTGACCTAGATGTTTACATTGAGAAGTCCAGAGACCAAGGAAATAGATTGGTATGGCTTTCACATATTTCAAACAAAACAACACTCACTATGCAAACATACACACTGTCAGTTTTTTCAGACAAATTTTTGTGACTGGACACATACACCAGCTAGAAGACAATACCAGGAGCTACTGTACTCCCTCTTTCATCTAGACCTCTAGCAGACCTTTTACAATGAAATGTCAGAAAACCATTTTTTTTTTTTAAATTTTTCACAAAACATCTAAACTCTAAGCACACAGCACACCATTTTTCAGACTATATCATTTAGTGCCTGCACACACCTGGTAGAGCACCAGCTCCTGCTGCACCTTCTCCCTGTGTTCGATGGCGTCCCGAACGATGTCCGTCATGTGGTCGATGGCGGCCATCTCGCGCAGGAAGCGCGCCCCGAGCCAGTCCTCCATGTCACGGTACGTGTCCTCAGACTTTGCCTTCAGACTCTGCAGCATCTGCATGGCTTTCAGCTTAATCAGCTCAAACCTAGATGAAAAAGAAATAAGGCATACACTTAATGCTAAAACCTGGCCACAACAAAAACGAAATGATTTCGTCAGGCTACATGCACTGTTTCATCTACTGGTCTGTTTTTGAAAGGCATTTTACCTGTTCTTAAGCCGTCCCTCCTCTTCATGCAGAGCTCCGAAGAACTCGACCCTCATCTTCTGTTTCACCTCCTTCATACGGAGGTCTTCTGGGCTCTCTTCTTCAACTGATAGGCAAAACAGCATATTAGGTTAACCCATTTGGCACATAGATGACAAAACTTCAACTTAACCAACTTTAATCTCAACAAATGTCTAAATGCTTATCCTACAATAGATATATTTTATACCTGCCCTTAGAACAGGTTTGAACTAGAACTGACCGGGTTCCGGCTCAGGTTCAGGTTCAGGTGCAGCCCCCTTGCCCTTCTTCCCGCTCTTCTTCTTGGTCTTGGTCTGCGCTTCCTTGGCTTTCCTCTCCTTCTCCCTCTCTCTCTCCTCCTGCGCAAGACGTTCCGCCTCCTCCTCAGCTTCTCGAGCTGCTTGCTCCGAGGAAATCTTTGAGGCAAAAAACAAACTTAGTTTATAGCACAACAATTGTACAAGTTACAAATGTACAACATGTGGCAGGGGTTTTTCTAGAAAAATTTAGCATGAGATCACCAGCGTGGTGAGGGAGCACAGTTTCTAATGATTGATAATGAAATTCCGTAATGACTTAAACATGAAACTTACCAAACCATTGACAGCATGAATTCCATGGGCATAGGCATCAAATATCAGCTGTGAGAAAAACACAAGAATGGCGTTAGATATGAAACTTACTGTAAGTAGCTTGAATGTAAATTAAAGTAAAAAAAAGGCACTTAACATATGTAATGAAATTTCAGTTTTAAAACATTCATGGTACAGGTTGGTAATAATGAATGATGAACGATAAGTAAAGTTTAACATGAATCAGTGAAAACCAGGAGCTGCCTTACCCTCTCATCAGGGTCCAGGGGAGGGGACGGACTCTCGATTTTGTCCTCCTTCTTCCCTCCTTTGCCCTTGGCTGCTTTGGCCTGGCCAGACTGAAGGTCAGCAGAGCGGGGTCTTCTGGGGACTAACGGAATCCTGGTGTAGAGAAGGATGGATTAAGACACTTACAAATGTATCTTGACATGCAAGGAACTAACCCATGGCAAGGACTCATAGACTGTGTGAGGTCTTAAACGCTTAATATCTATTTTCTGTTTATTGGCCAGTTTGTAGCCTAGTTATATACTTGCAGTCACTTATTGGGGGAAACTTATAATACAAGTACAAATAAGATGAGACAAGACGTTCTGCCAAAGTGCTCAGCACAATAAATTACAGGTTTTGCACAGGCGTAGTACGTTCTGCCGACGTGCTCTAGGAATACTGTTTCTCACTTTGGTCTGTCGTCATCCTCCCCAGCCGAGTCATCACCCTTGTCCTCCTTCCCTTTCTTCCCGCCTTTCCCAGCCTTGCTCTCAGGCGAGGCCGGCGGCTGGGTGCCCGTGTCACTGGCCACACTCTTAGCCTGGGACCCAGGCCTCTCCGTGGGCAGCAGCTGGGACAGATGGGGAAATAAAAATCATCTTCTGCTGTGTTCAATATAGACAGTTGATTATATTCCCATAAAAAGAGGTGAACATGGACAATGTGTTCAGAAAGGAGGTAGGTGCAGCAAAAATATAGTCAGCAAATTATTTGTTCACAGTAATGATAAGTTGGCAGTACAGAAGTGACCATGAAAACCATATAAAAGTACTGCCATGATTTACAGCAATCACTGAATGGTAGAACCCCCAATACCTCGACCAGCGGAATGCGGACATATTCCTCCTGTAGTTCATCAGGAATGTGCCCCTCCATGCCTCGGTAGTAATCCTTCAGCAGACGGGCGGTGTCCTGGAAACGGTCTACCTCAACCTGACAGGAGAAAATACAATAATTATTGATTATTAATACCAAATCATCTTTATGTCTCTTGTTTACATAACACAATTTTTGGTCAGAATGTTTCAGATAGTCTCAGAACTTGCTTGTGTGTAATTTACTGTGTTTGACTTGACAATCAACACATTCATCCAAAGGTTGCTCTATCTAGTCACACTGACTAAAAGAAGCAATCTCATAAAAATCTAGTAACTTCTTGACCACAATTTTGGCACCATAGCCAGTGTAGCATTCTCACAAGCAACCTTGTGTGCATCTGACAAAAGGTGCTGAAAATATAGTTGCTGTTATTCTTTACAATTATACAGTAATTTAGGAGTTTACCACATGTAATTCATATTTCCTATGTCATCATACATGATGAAAATTGTGCTGTGCTCAAAATTTTGAGGTTATGAAAAACAAAAAAAGGACAACAAATTAGGCAATTAAATCTACGACTCCTGTGCTGACCTGCATGAGAGTGATGTAATGGTTGGTGAGGGTTCCCAGGTGGTCCTCCAGCCACCCCTCATGCATGACATTGGAACGTTCCGTCTCAGCCTCCTCCTTCCTGGTGTCACAGATGTCCCACAGACGTTCCTTCAGGTCCTGTCAACATCATACAATCATGGGTTACTTCTACTACAGCTGTTATTCACAGAACACTTTGGAAAGAATCCCTGTCTCTTTTCATTATAAGGATGGTACTGTAATTTGCTTTATGTTCATGGTAGCAAAATTTGAGGTCTGAAAAAATTGAGGTGCTCCAGGTTTGCACATTGCAGGTCATAAACCTGAGAAAAAGTGGTAGACACTACTGACAGTTTTCAAAATCTAGCCAGTTGCTTGAGTAACAACTTATCTCATTACCTGGATGTCTAACACTACCTGTGCACGAGAGATTATGTAAATATTGTACAATGAATGCAGTGGAAAATGAAATACATTTTGTTAGCCAGTGTCCTCACTATGAGACCGAAAGAAACAGATTATTTCAGACAGTTACAACAATCTCTCCATCATTTCGTCATTTAGAAGATCACCAAAAGACTACATTTCTACTAAGATCACAAAACCCACTAATTATGCAGAATGTGGGACTATTCATTATCCACTGCCTTCAAAGAAGAAGTCGAACCCCTTAATAGCTAGCGTAGTAGTAGAAGTAGTCTGAGGTTTTTTCCAGACAGATTGTTACCTGTCTCCTGTTACTGTATACTTGACTGTACAAGCAATTAGCTAACACATCATGGATCAATAAGGCAAGGTTTGCCTAAAAGCTACACTGACAGAAAGTATTGGATACTACTTGAAACATCTGACAGTTTTCAAAATCTATCTAGTTGCTTGAGTATGTGACTGTATGAAATGAATTTCAAAGTGTTCCTTACGTCGACTCTCTGGTGCAGTTCTGCCCTGGTGTCCTCATCCTCTCTCATGTCTTCAGGAATGTTGTTGTAGTCCTCCTGCCAGTGGGACAGAAACTCCTGCTTCCCATCAGGACGCTTCAGGTACTTCTTATAGTCCTCTCTGAGAACAGGCAAGGAATCATTAAATATAGCTAAGACTATACTTGTCATAAAGTAAGACATTCAAGTCACTATCAGACCTATCAGTCAATCCAGAACTTTCAAAGACAGAAGTCAGGGTCCTTAGTAAACATAGGTGAACATCATTCAGACCTAGTAGTATGGTTCGTATCCTTGGTTGCACACAGTTGCAACACAATCCTTGACTGAAGAACTTGTTTTACCATAAGACAAGAAGCCTACACCTTCATGTAATAGCACGCAGTAAAACAAGCTACTACTAATTTCTGTTATGTCAACTATATGCTGCCACCTACGAATCCATTACACTTTACATGGTTAACAAGTGGTGTTCAGCACCAAGGACAGCACCAACTTACACTAACAAAGACTTCCCCATTGTAACATCAATTCTAGTATTCATGAACTGAGATATTCCTGAAGAAGAAGATATGCAGTCGTACCTGACAGCATACAGGTAGCGGATGATGCTCTCCCGTTCCTCCCGCAGCTTGTGGAAGATGACTTTACTGGCTCCCACATACGTGCCTTCCACTGTCTCCCAGTGAGGGGACAGGATTTGAGCCACCTCCTGTAGGTTTAAAAAAAGTTAGAGTTCAGAATTGCCCTGAAGGAGGTGACAGATGGTCACCAAAACATTGGCTGAATAAAATGTACTTGAGAGTCATTTTATTCAAAGTAAATTACAGAATAAGAGCATTCTAATGAAAGCTCATCTGTGTTGGAAGAACCACAGTTATAGAGTCAAGCTTTATTTGTTCCAATACAAAAAGAAAACATCTTGAATGTGTTGTGTCATAAGATAATTCTTACATCAGTGATGGGTTCGTTGACATACTCCCACTCCTCTGACCCAGGCTGGGGAGGGGGAGGGCCTGTGGGCTCCTCATCTGGCTCTGGTTCTGGCTCAGGGACAGGTGTCTTCCTGTTGGGAGACAAAAATGACAAAAAATTGATATTTTTCTCTTCTTTATTCTCTCTTTACTTTAGTTGATTTCAAGATATTATCATGAATGTTCATCTGTGTTGGTAATTACATGTTTTAAGTTAAAACTTAAGATCACAACACAATAAAGTTCTCTCACATATAGATTTCGACCAGTGCTCTGGTCTTCCTCAGTAGACTGACCCAGTGTCGGAGGTTTGTGATTTCAAGATGTTCAAAAGAAGTTACAAACGCTTTGGTGGACTTGATAGTTACAAGAAAGTTTTACTTACTTGCCCTTCTTTCCAGATCCTCCCCGTTTTGCTGAGCCACTCCGGGACCGATCGCGTGACTTACTCTCGCGAGCCTCCAGCTTGTCCTTTTTCTTACTGGGTGACCCTGAGCGGTCCCTGGCCGAACCCTTGGGCGACTTTCGACCCTTTGGTGAAGCTAAAAAGAGTGGAATAGGATATACTTAATGTTTGTAACCATAACTTCAATACTGACAAGAGGTATTGGTCATTTGAGCTTTCAATGCAAGTACTGTTCCTAAAGAACAATGGTGACAAATTTAAAAAAAAGACAAGAACATACTATTAGTAAACTGATTAGCATTTTATATATTAATATAAGGTAAAAAAAACAACACTTTTGTAAGGGCCCTATCAAATAAGTATGAAAAATAGCATAATTTATATCTTAAACTTTTTTTACAACTTGTGTGGAGAAGAAGTGAAATATGATGATAGTAAAAGAATGATCCAAATACTCAGACCTCAGATCTCCATGAAAATTTATAAGTTTATAAGGAGTAACGTTGAAAATCTCAAAAAGCTATATTTGCTATCAGTGTGGCGCACTTTTGAATTGGCTGATGCAATCTTCCTCTATATTGCGCAAGAGCAACAACAGTCGAGATCATGTAATGGCTAACACCTGTGAAAGCAGCAAGCGCACGCCGACCAGATCTAGAAATAATAAATGACCTTGTTTTTCATGGACGTAGTTCATTTAGTGAAAATGCCATGTAAACCTTGAGAATAAAACATACTGAACAGATATAGAAATGATTAATGACTGTCACAGTAATTTTTCACAGAGCTAATTTTTTTGTAACAGTGCCATGTAGTGAAAGTATACAATGTCTCTCTTGGCTTGGCTTCATTTCTGAAGATTTCATGGGCCATTCCCTCTCCTACTGCACGCCTGCAATGTAACCTTGAGGATAAAAACAAGTTCTGAACTGAGCAATGTTCGTACCTGATCGAGATCTTGCGTCCTTCTTGGATGATGAAGGTCGTGCGGAGCCTGCCCTTGACCCCTGTTTGGAGGGTGGCTGTGACGGTCCGTCCTTCATCTCCGGTGGAACCTCCAGCGGCGGGATGTCTGCCGGCTTGTCCTCCACAATCTCAGGCGGTTTGTCCTTGTTCTGGAGCTGAGAGTTCGATAATTTTATGATGATCGGTAAAATAAATATTTCAGGTCAGTTTAAAGCCCTGCAGCTATTTCATAAAGGTTCTGTGACAATTGCACAATTGCAAATCAAATCAAACCTTACTAAAACAAAATGGCAGACATGTAGATGACATTGTACATCATTGAATTCTGACTTTCCCACATTACACTTTGATTGATACTGATGTCAATCATTAAATAACATTAAAAAGGCATGAACATTACAATTAAAATTTAACTTGATAATATTTAATAGAATTATGTACATAAGACCATTACGATTAGAATTCATAAGAAAATGTAAAGGATTTTTTTTCTCACGTACCTTGTCCAGTGTGTGTTGCAGAACCCTTTCCACTTCGTTCACCACCTCTGCCTGGTCCATGTCTGCATCCACTCGAGACAAGATGCCCATCTTAGTAAACAGCTTCTCCAGTTTGGACCAGGCATCGTGGAAACCTGTGATCCTAGTGGGGGACAAAAGAAGAAACATTTGATCAGGGCTGTTAGCCAACTCAATTTTTTTTTTCTTTCAGCCCAGGTTCATGATTGGACCTGAGGGGAGAGTGCTCGCAATCTAGAGGGGGGTAGTTTCTGGGTGCAAATTCAGGATTTTCAAGCCTTTAAAAACACAATTCCCCACATTTTGAGAGGCATATCATGGGGTTGAGAGTGGTTGTTGGTGTTCCTTTGGATGTTTTTAGACTGTTTTCTCAAGATTTTTGTCAATTTTGTGCGTCAAGATTGACAAATCGACAAACGCTACTACTAGGGTGACATGCTTACCTGTGCTGCACCTGTTCCTGGTCGTGTGCAGCGTCCTCTACTGGGATCACCTTCTCTGTCTTCCCCAGCCCTGTCTGGCTCCCCTCGGGAGGGGGGTTAAACTCCTGCTGGTACTGCTGATCTGCCTGGGGGGCATCTGTGGGAAATAGGGAAGGTTTAACCTCACAAATGTCAAGTTGGAACAATAGGAGAGAGTTAAACTCCTGCTAGTACTGCTGGTCAGCCTGGGGGGCATCTGTGGGGAATAGGGAAGGTTTAACCTCACAAATGTCAAGTTGGAACAATGGGAGGGGGGTAATCTCCTGCTGGTTAGCCTGGGGGGCATCTGCGGAGAGTAGGGAAGATTTAACCTCACAAATGTCAAGTTGCCTGCAGACCATCTGTGAAAAATGGGCTAGATCTAACTGCACAAATGTCAAGTTACTAATTTTAATTACAAGAATTATGAATGGTAATTTATAAGCATTATCATTAAAGCCAATCTTATAGCATCAATTCCTACCTCTAGGTTGAAACTACTGACACTTGCCTGGATGACACTGCTATTTAAGATATTACTAATTCAAAGATATATTTTCCCTACATATATATCATACATTCATAAGATATGACCCAACTTAAGTCACTCACATGATCTGCCTGCAGCCCTCTTTAACGCCACATCATCAGGGATGTCAAACAGGATGACCACATCAATGCCAGGTGGAGGGGTGGGGGGCTCCTTGCCGGGGTTGGGGTCCAGTGCAAGTGAAGACTTCTTGGAGATCTGGGGCAAAGAAAATTTACATTGTGACTCTGAGGGAATTAAAGTACATGTGTTTGGGCAAAACAGAATTCAACAAAACTGTTCTTTATATCATCTTTTGCATTAAATTTGTTTCATACAATATGCAGCTCCAATATGTATGTAGCTAGCACGCAAACAAGCTTTAAAGTCTGAAACAAGTTTGAACTGCAAATTCCAACACAAAAATTGGTTCAGACTGAGTTCAAACCTGTTTCAGAATTATTTCTACCAAGATACAGTACTGTCAACTTAAGTTTCACTTTATACTCTTTTCTTTCTATACTATGTTCAATAGTCGTTGCCATACATTGTGTCATGTACATGTAAACGTTCTCCTATTAGTGGAGTAAGTTCTTACCTTCCGGTTAGTGGCTGACACTTTGCTACCTGAAGCAGCCGGTTCAGACCCAGTCAGAGCCTTTTCCAACAGTTTAGCCTGCTGCAGGGTCAGAGGGAAACCATCCAGCACCCAGCCTGTTCCTTCTGGCAGCCGTCTGGGGCAGGAATGAGGTTTAATATTAGGTTCAAACAGTTGTAATTATATTACATTACAATATATGTACATGTAGTAAGGAATCTAGGAAGATCGTGTCTTATGTATATACACAACACTATAGACAGAATGATATAACAATTAAGCAATAAGCTACATGTATGCTAGATGTAAGTCAGTTATCTTTGGATCCCACTAACAAGACACATGGCCCTGTCCTTGGTGCTGAATGCCAAAGCAATATGATGTATCCCAATGGTATCCGAAAGTATGGCAGTACAGACTGTTTCTGACTCAATTTCAATTCTTGAAACATCACTATACATGCAACTTACTGCTGAAAAATTTTACTAATATTGTACTCTTTTTTGTCCTACCTGATTGCGTCAATGACAATGTCCACCAGAACCTGGTCGTCCACAGACTTGCCCTTCCTCAGAGACTTGATAGCCTTGGAACCAAGCTTGGCTCTGTTGGTGGGCTGGAGGGTCAGAAAAAAACACACAACAGGAATGACTGGATGTAATTGTGTGCTGAACCATGTATTAAGCTTCAGAATTGACATTCATTATGGGATTCTGATAATGATAATCATGCCATCTTTTGGCACAGTCATACGCCTGAGTGTACATCTATATATGACAGATTGGGCAAAATTTTGTCTGTCATGAGTAGCTAAATTCCGTCAAATGATGAAAAGATGGATGCTGGCTAGAAAACTAATTTAATACCAACAACATGTGTTAAGAATTGGTCTGCTAGTATAATCATGTGTCTGTCTGTCTATTTGTTTGTTTGTACACATACCTCGGGATGGGAAGTGTCGCTCTTCCTTGCACTGGACTTCCTGACGCTGCTCCTGGGACTGAGACCACCAGACTCCCCCAGGGGAGTGGCACTGCCAGACAAGGGAGGCTGGGCGCCGTCTGACTTGTCTGTTAGTGACAGTCAAAGGAGACACAAAAACATATTATGTATTGAACTAGAAAGGTAACATTTGCAAAGCAAATGCATGATGTTTCCCTTCACAGGGTCTAGCCTAACAAACTACAGTAACTACTCTGTTTAATATATGTATGATGACCAGCCCTTCCAACACAGGGTGTCTGCTATGAGTTACCATGGTCATTGACCTTTTTTGGTTTACAGAAGAGGAAGAACAAACAGAGCAAAAACAATGTGTTTTCCTTCTGTGAAGGTAAACATAATTATCACAAAAACACAATCATGTACAGGAAAGGCCAGAAAACTATGTTTGAACAACAGGATCTAGAAAAAGTCATGTTCATTTTCAGTTTTACGACAGAAATGATAATTGTAACTACACTACACCAGAAACCATTCATACCGGGTAGCATTTCTATGAAATTAAGTCAATGCTTGAGCAACATATGAAAATGAAAACTGCTAAACAAAAGATAAAGGAAAGGATGGTATCTGTACCCTGGTCTTCTCCATCTTGCCTGGCAGATGCTGCCTTCTCTGTGGCCTCTGGTGTGGCTGGTTCTACGACTGTTGTTACACTGGGCTGAGGTGTTATTCCTGCACAAAACATAAGGAACAAATTTGTAACTGTACAATAATGTCACATACATTATCCAACTAGTAGTTACTAAAGGCTATTTATGGGCATAAGGTATGTACTGTGTGCTCTTCATAAAAGCACAGTACTAGTAGCCAGACATGTCATAAATGTATGAAGCTTAGCATTGTTGAAAAATCGTAATTAATGTTAAGAATTTTCAATTGCAAAATGAGCTGAATTTTCCTGAGCAGATTGGTGGTGTCTAATTGCATATTTGATATAAAATCACATGTGTATGGTCTTAGTTAGATTACCTGGTACTGATGACTCCTGTGTGGGGGCCTCTCCCTCAGGCTTGTCAGACAGTTGGGTGGCTGGTGTGATTTCTGTTGCTGCCTGCACTTCTTCAAAAACCTCATCTGACTGCAGATACAAGAAACAGCAATTAATCTAAAATGTAATGTATATACCGGGTACCACACCTCGCATTACACAACACAACAGGCCTCCTGTCTTTTACTGTGGGACAAGTACAAGACATGTAACCTAGAAACTATGAAAATTTGAACTCTACAACAGTTTATATTATAGAAACTATGCTATTTATAGCTAAGAGAAAACACACAAACACACAAATAAAGTGTAAAATCTTACAAAGCACAGGCAGCCCTTATTTGCTGCCTTATGTGCAACAAGGAATGAAAACAGAAGAAGAAAAAGAATAATCCCATAAACTCTTCTATAAACTACAAATGAAAAAGTACCATTGAAGGAGTGACCTCCTCAAGTACCTCTCCATTCTTAAAGGCCTCCACTGCCTCATTCACCAGCTGGTCTGGAGACAGGACAGCCAAACGGTGACCTACAAGACAAGTACAAGATAGAGTATAGATGTAGATTACAGATCAGTGTATTACCATACTGACTGCTCTACATGTATATCAAGGGTTCTTCTTGACAAAGCTGGCTGTTGTTAATTGTTAGTGGGTACATTGTATATTCAAGACAATATGCATTGAGGTATTTAAATTCTCGTATACATACATCAAAAATATGTGTCACTAATTATAGAATTAATATACATGTATGGCAAGATCAGAGACTTGGCTTCGGGTTTTGAAAAATATCAACGCTTATTATGAAGTACACAGTGGCATATCAATTAGGTTCACACAAACCTTGAAATGCTCCTTGTTAGTGCATGGAGATAAAATCAAACAGTGTAAATATGAAGCATGGAAAGGGTAAAAACAAGCAAATCACCAAATACGTCAAGACATGTACAAGCTTTTCCTGTACTTACTGTAAATTACGATTTTTTGCAGTACTTTTATCGACAGTTTTTGTAGACAATAGGTCTCTACATCAAAATTCTACTTGCTTATGACCAAAAATAAGCACTGGTTCAAGTGAGTTAGATAATCACTGACAAGATATACAATATACATGGAAGATTTTCAGCACCAAGGACAGGGCATACCATACTGTTGTGCAAAACCCATGCTTTTCAAAGGACTGTTTCTTGTTTTTATCAATTGACAAGACATAGAGCCCTGGAGCTTCTACCAAAGACAGTAGTTATGTACGTAGTATATGTGGATGGTTTTCAGCACCAAGGACAGGGTGTACTGTTGTGCAAGACCCATGCTTTTCAAAGGCCTGTGTCATATTTTATCAATATACAAGACATAGAGCCCTGGATCTTTTATCCAAACAGTAGTTATGTATGTATGTGTATGTGGATAGTTTTCAGCACCAAGGACAGGGTATACTATTATGCAATCTCTGGTCTTACTTGGATGATATGTCAGCTATACAGACAAACTCTGTGCATTTTATCATTCATTTATTATCAAAGGTAACATTTGTATCTACCAGGAGTATTTCTGGATACATAGTCCTTAGTATACTCACTTTCTGCAAGAATCCTGAGAGCAGAAGACTTTCCGCCGAATAGTTTTCCCACGGCACACGCTCGCACAGGGAAGGGTGGGAACTCTGGGGGAGGGGGAGGGGGCTGGGAACAAAGAGAACACAGGTCAACATCCACTTCACAATGGAATAATCATTTAGGGATTATCTCGAATTAGCTTTCTAAGACATTCAAGCCATTGCTACCATAACCAATGACTTTATTGTAAAGTCTCACAACTTTGTGATTTTCAGGAAATTCACTAGTCTAGAAGAATCTGGAAACCAAGTGAAAAATAAGCAATGCGGATTGCTATGGTTTATGAAAAAACTACCAATTCTGAATTATAGCAAGCTGCACTATTAAAAATCTGAAAACATTGCCTGGAACTTCACTTGATGTATGCATTTAAGTAAAGAGTTTTCTTTGAAAAACTTTTCAAGTATGAATATAAAGTTCAACAGTTGAAGATGCAATTGAAGAAACATGAGTCCCACCTTTGGAGGAGAAACAATGTTGAAGATCCTCTGCACAATGTGTCCAACCACGTTGTTGTTCTTTTCGTTGTTGATCTCAGAACCCTCGGGCGGTTCCCACTCCCCAATCATATCCTACAGGAGCAAGCAGCAAGTTTCAAAAGGACAGAACTTTTGTAGGAAAATCTTAATTTCTTTATTTTTTGTGTCAGCAACACTTTCAATGTGCAATATGTAAGAAGCATTGTACTTTAGCTAATTACATGCAACAAGATATCAGCTCTGTAAAGTCAAGCAAACACTTTTTAAGACAATTTTGAAACAAGTAAAAAAATAGCACATCTGCAAATGGTTTCTATGCTATTTTTACAGTACTGAATATACTGTACTTTTTAGTGTGGAATCACATATCAACATAACAGTGGTAAAATGGAATGACAAGTCTTGCTGGGTCAGTCTATTGAAGAGGCTTTAGGAGAGAACAATTTCTTGTGTTGGATCAAAAGTTTTAACTTTAAACAGCCATAAAAATTTATTATCAACTTGAAATGACAGCTTTCATACACATGTCCTGAAGATCAAACTAGTTTCTTGTTGAGAAAGATGTTCAGGATCATGGCCCAGTACCTTGTACTCCTTGAAGTCTCCATCATTCAGAAGTTTCTGCTTCTCCATTTCAATAATCTGCTCCGGGGTGGGCTCACTGCCTTCTGCTGTGTCCTGCGTACAACAGTAAATATAAAATCATTACCTGTCTTTCTTTAGACCATTTTACAAGTTTTACAAGAGTAGTGTTTCTTTTATAATCAATATGTATCATTAAAAGCATACTCAAGAGCAGAAGAAATTGTTATGGTTCTGTAGATATGAGTCAGTAGTCAGAGAGAGATGCACATTCAAGTACTTTAAACACCTGAAGAAACCATGCAACACCTATTAGTTTTCCCTCTCTTCCATAACCATAACCCAGCACTCAAGCTGACATGAGGAATTTACCCATACCGGAACATCCTCTATGACGGACTGGAGCAGATAGGTGCAGATATCGTGAATCGGGAAAAAGAGGAATTGATAACAGTTAGGGAACTGTCCTTACATGTTCTGGCCAATGCTTTATTGATGCTTTAGATACAGGAATTTTGGCAAACGTAATTTAAAAACTGTTTAAAATTGCATAACATGCAGGGCCAAAATACCACCTGCATATACAGGTAAGTACAGAATTCAAATGATTTCTTGATCCATGTTTCATCAAACCTATTTTTCATGCAGAGCAGTGTAGGCAAAATTTATCAAGTGCAATGCAAAAAAAGTATTTCGAGCCCTGAGTATGTCATGTAACACTGTTGAATCCATGTTCAGATATTCTTACCTTTTCCTCATAGAGTGGATGCCCCTCTATAAACAGCTGGGTCCACTCCCGGAATAGCTTCGGTGGCACAAGCCTACATGAAATACAACAATGTCATCAGTAAATAAGGTGCAAATTTACACTGGGATTCAAGTTAGAGCAACCTGGCATACAGATATGTGATTTGTTTTGTTATAATTCCTGGTATATATGAAACAATAGCACCAATTATACATGTAGACAGCAGTTAAACATGCTGTCACTGATATATCCAACAAGTATCCCTTTACATGTAGCCTTTTATAACTTTTTATGTTCCCACAACAAAAATTAGGAGTAAATTCTTTACCAAAATATATCCTTGGCACAATAAGTTTTAAAATTGGACATATCAGAATCAAACTCACTTTTCTGTTAGCTCCCTGTACTCCCCAAACTTGGTGGCATAGTCCACAATCTGCAGGGTGACCTCCATACACATGTCGTAGTGCCGGCGGTATCGCTGTTCGGCGCGCTCCGCCGCAATCCTGTCATGGAGCTCCTGTTCTGCCTTGGTCTGCTCAATGTACTCTAACTTTGCCAGCTGGGCAAGTTCCTACACCAAGAAAATTACAAAATATAAGCTTCATTCAAAAGTCAAAACAAATCACCTTGTTGACAAGTTATGACATAAAAAAAAACACTTAGACCTTCCAACCAAACTATCATCTACTTCCCAAACTGATGTCACTTTCCAAAATGATATCAGAAAGTCCTTAAAATAACTCAAGTCCTACCTGTTATAACATTTAACTGCCATTCTATAGTTACAATAATTTGCACAACAGTATATCCTGTCCTTGGTGCTGAAAACCTGGTAAATGAATAACTAGATGTCTTTGATGCAAGATTCACAGCTCTTTACCTTGCTTTTATCCATCAGTTTATGTTACAGTTACATACTTAATGGTCACCACACACACTTTTTCATTTTCAACCAAAGTTGCATCACATACCAGTATTTCAAAGATATTCATATATTTTGTGAGTGCTGGACATAACATGAAGATATTTCAAGTGGCAAAGAGAATATATATGCCTGCATAACATACATTTGTAAGAGATAAAAAGTAAAACAAACCCATGAGTGTGCCTTGGAAATCACCACATGTACAGTGTAATGTAAATCTATGTCAAGCAGCAAGTGACATGTCTTATTTGGGACCTTACCCGTTGGTGTTCAAGTAACCACTGATGGAGGGAGGGCAGTGAAGAGGAAAAGGCATCATAAGTTACTCTAGAGAGTCCACAGTTAGTACATGTTGTTAATAGAAATCCTTTTATTTATGAGTAGTATAAGTCTTCATCTTGCTCTTCTTCAATAAAAATTATCCTGGAGTACATGTCTGTATCCAGTGCCTTGTCATCTGTTAACCTTTAGCACACTGCAGTGCTAAGTAGCCATTTGGCCTATTAATGATTACAGGGTTAGGCATAGGCAGCAGGAAGGAGGTTAAACTGTACCTTCTCCTTGTTGAGGGCATCTTCAAAGTCTTTCACTCTCCTTGCATCGTACTGCTTCTCAAGGAATATTCTAAGGAGAGGAGAGGAAAAAGAAGAGATATTATTAGTATATCTTTATATCCACAAGAATGTATCTACAGCTGTTTCTATTTTTGATGTAAGAATATTTTCTGCACTATGATAAAAGAAATGTATAAAGTTAAGACTTGCTTAGTTCAAATTCTTCCCACACCGTTCAGAGTACAGGATGCATAGGTGGTGCAAATCTCCATTTCTATAGCCCCACAGTTACAATGTAAGCAAACACATATAGCAAGGTGCTAGCCCATTGCTAGTGTACTACCATATTCCATAATGAGACTCCTCCTAGGCTATAGGTACTAAATTAATAAGTACAGAAAGCAGAAACTTCTGCGAAGGTAAACATGATAAAAGTGTGCCCACCTGTTCTTGCGAATGATGTCCTTTTCGTGCCTGGCCTGCAGCAGCTGGACAGCGATCCTTCTCTCCTGCTGAGACTGACGCATCAGTCGGTTCACCAGCATCTCCTCACGGTGGGCTTCCTACAACATCACAACAGAAACTTTGTCACACACAGGGCTTCGTTCTGATCTTAATCTTTCAATTATACTAATTTATAGTGCAAGCTCTGTAGCATTAGCATGAGAATCTCTGATGTCTGTCACAGAGGTTGATCCTAGATAAACTACAAACAAACAATTGAAAAAGACCTACAAATAGTAAATCTGAACTGGAAGGACGTAGAGAGGATGACTGTTGACCAAACTAATGCTGTTATGCTCTTACTGACTGAGGTTGAAGGAAAATCTTCACTGTTCCCATGAATTTATGCATATGAAACCTTTACCTCCTGTGCGTCGTGTGCCTTCAACTGGTCTACCAAGACTTTCCTGCGCCTTTTCTCTCGCTCCTCTCGTGCCTTAGAGTCTTCCTCCAGACGGCGCTTGATTTTCCCAATATAATCATCATTTGCGCCAGGCTGGAAGGGAAAAACATTACAAAAAAGCATGTCATTGACTAACCCACACTCTTGTGTATGATAGTTGAAGTGGCATTATAGTCACTCAAGACAAGTTCAGAAAGCTGTAACCTATTTCATAATCCAATAGGAGGATGACAAGTTGTAGTACCTGAATGAGGTCCACAGGGGGTGGTTTGTACTCCAAATCCTCGGTAGTGACACTGAAGGCCAGGTCACTGCTGCCGTCGTCCATCCCAGACGTAGCAATCTGCTGAGACTTCAGCTTGTTCTCAAAATCCTTGATCATTACCCTGGTGTCCTGTGGGTAAAGAGTTTTGTTGGTTAGAATTTAACAGAGTAACTGTTAACTGTACAGCAATATTCTTACTTAAAATGGCCAAATACGCTCTACGAAAAAGGGCATGCGGCCCCCATTATGGACCCTTCACTAGGAGTTTGAGGACATGTACATTTTCCTGGAGGAATCAGGTTCAAAAAACAAGAAGTCTACAATGGAAGTCTACTATGAAAGTCACTATGGGAACACAAAAACAGAAGGACGAATCAACCACAATGAATGTTGTTGAAATGAAAATCGTTCATCGCTCACCTCTGCTTCCTTCATCCTCCTTGCATCTTTCCTCTGCTTGATGGCCCTCAGAGTCTTACTGGGGGGAGGTTTGGGAATCTCCACTGTGGCAGCCCTGCAAGGAGGAAGGAAGGAAGGAATTAGCAGATGAATGAATGAACATCTGAAGAGATATAAATAGAGATGAATGAAGAATTAAATGGAAGGAAGGAAGGATCCAAATCAAGTCAAAGTCAAAAATGGATGGATGGATGAACGGACGGACGGATCAATATCAAACAAATTTCAGTTTTTAGAGACACACATATGACATTTTTTAAAGCAGTGGTTTGTGTCCAGCACAGCTACATGTAGTCCATACCTGAGCTTGGCCAGGAGCTCTGTCTGTTTCTGCCGCGCCATCCTGGCCTTCTCCACGGCTTTCTGACTCTCCTCCGACTGCAGGCGGCGATACCTCTCCTCCTCCTCCATCTTCTCCCGGAACATGGTCTGCTCGTGCTTCGTCCACTTGTCGTCAAACTTGGCCTGAAGCTTTCCCAGGTTCTGGTCCGTCTGACGGGGAGTCAGGATCTTCAATCTCTGCATGAAAAAAAAATGAAGCAAGACAATATAATTATTATGTGTGTATCAATAAAAATGATTCATAGACCTATAAGCAATAGACTGATCCTGACTGTTCATCACAATTAGCTGTTCAATCAATGATAGCAGGGCAATTAGTGGTTTGACCGATAAGAACATGGCGATTAGTGGTTTGACCAATGATAGCGTGGTAATTAGTGGTTTGACTAATGAGATTGTGGTTGCATGTCTTTCAAGTATTTGCAGTTTTAGCAAAATACAAGGTCTATATTAGCTCAGCATTTATGTCCCCAATTGGCAAGGACAGACCTGAATCTAATATATGTTAAACAAGTTAGTGAGGTAAACTAACTAGATAACTCGAAGTCAAACAGTCATTACTAACCTCCTTGTATATTTCACTCTCTATCCCCTCCAGCTTGACGGGTGCGGCAGGCCTCATGGTTTCCATGGCAACCCCAGTCAGGTTGGCTTTCTGCTTCCTTCCCAGGCCGATGAACAGCTGGTAAAGCAGCCTGTGAAAATGTGTTTTTGTGAGACAACTGCATAGAATATGGGGATTTTATTCTTAAACAACCTGTACTGTATCTCACCAGTATGTTTCTATAGATACCTTCCTCAGAGCTTCTGACTGGAGTTCTGCTTCTCACCGCTATATGTAGCCAATGTAGCTGGGCACTTTTGCAGCGAGAACAATCTCAAACATGTATACAATCACTATTATCCCAGTCAGAAGCTCTGAGGAAGCTGATTCTAACGGATGCAGGTGAGATATACATTACAGGTTGTGTATGAAGAAAATCCCTACATCCTAAATGATGAAATTATTTTTGGGGTTTTTAAGGGTTAGTCACATGACCGAAAACATATTGTTGGATTTTCTTTCCTAGGCATAACGTAAAGTTGTCCCAACCCTTACCTTGTGGCGACACCATACTGCTCAGTCATGATGGAGTGAGCGATGTTTGTGTCGAAATCCACCTCCAGCAGCCGCAGTGTCGGCTCCAGCCGCGTGAAGTTGTTGAGTTTAGACTCAGCTGTCCTGTAGGGATAAAGAAATCAACAACTAATGAATTTCCTGTAATATTTAGCGAAGCTGCAAACATTTTTTCTTTCAGAATGTAGCATTTTAATTCATATAATTAACTTTATTGTGCACACAACAATTGTACAAGGTACAAAGTATGGCAACTGTAACATGTGGTAATGTTTAAGCAGCTTACTTAACATAAAGAATAACACGCATGCGTAGCGTCAGACGACAAGAAGAGACGAGCCAGACAGAAGGTCTGAGTTGGTGACTAGAGAATAAACCAAGCCGATTCAAGTATTCCAGCTTGGAGTCACGTTATTGGATTACTACCAAGAGGTAGGGGCACGACAACAGAGTCTAAGAGAGAAGACAAAAGTCGTCGCAGCAACTACCAGGTACATAACACTAACAGTACTACAGTTCCATAAGACTGCTCTACCTTACTCTATAATACAAGAGGCAGTAGTATGGGGCAACAGTGTAATGAAAAATTTGGATAAGAATTTTTTACAATCAATCGTGGATTTTTCCTTACATCTAGGCATTATTTAAAATCAGGATCATCAAAACCTAATACAAGAAAGAACACCTGTTAATCTGAATTTCTGTTCAGCAATTTTCTGAAAAGATAATATGAATGTTCACAAACCTGTTTTGTGAGAACTTGTCAAAGTCATTCTGCAGCTGGTATCTGGCCAGCAGCTCTCCAATGAGGAAGCCATTGGAAAAATCCTTGGCAAAAGTCTTGTTATCTGTAATATGAATGGTGGATACAGGGTATTACTTTAATCTATACTTTATTAGGCACATCTTGATATAAAACTAAAAGTCTAACATGTTGCATTACAACAATAACAAATCCTATTCATCATCTACTGTTATTTGCCATTTCTTCTGCATATTTTGTTTACTATACATATACAATACTATAGGTATTTGAACGTATTCTGCTTTCAACTGACATTTTCTTACACATCTTGTCTAATTGTTAAGTATCAAATAGCGCTTGGCGTTCATAATATAATTTGTTAAGTCATTTAAAATAAAATCAAAACCTGCAGGTGCAAGGTCCTTAGGGGACCACCATTCTAAAGCATGTTTCTTCCTTTTGAGCAATTCCTTTTGACCGCGTTGTTTCCCTGATGTTTCTTCATCAACTTGAGCTAGTGAAAATTGGGGAGTTGTCTAGATGATGAACAAAAGTGTAACTTGGAGAATCTAGTGTGAAGTAGTGACCCACGCTTTGGATTTGGCAATGCTCAAAAAAAAGAATAAGAACTCATACTGACTTAACCCCGAGACTTACTCGCCTCCCAGATTGTTGGGAAGGTTTTGACATTGCCTGTTGTTTATTTCATAACACTTTAGAGCTTCCATTGCGACGTCGTTCAGTCGAACGTTACCCACACGACTACCGCCCCCCCTCCCCCACTAAACGACGACATGGTTACGCTCTCTTCAACACAATCTTACTCCATTTTACACACTTACCGACAGGCTTTGACAGCTTCACCTCGTCGTTCAACCATCTACACAATATCTCCGTCATTTTGGAACCTCTAGAGTTTTCTTGTTCGGACTAAAATCCCGTCAAAATCTACCAAAATCAAGGAGCCGTCCCCATCATTGGCGACGTAAACAATAAAAACCAAGATGGCGTTGTTGCTAGGGAACGGCCGTGAAAAGAGCCTTGCTACGATTGGTCAGTTTCAAAGACGACGTTGTTACAGCTGATTTGATTGGTGGAAAGTTCCGCGGTTAAACTAAAACGCACTGAATATACAGGTGTTTTTAGGCTCCTTCTTATCTGTGATAACTATTTGGAGAAAAAGATGCTTGATTTTAATCAAAATTTGAATACTGGATATGACAAGTTTCAAATTGACAGTACAATGTAGTTTGTACCAGCCAGAGCAAATAAAAGAAAGCAGAAATGAAAGCTTTTATTTTTAGAACCATCCTCAATTTCTTGGGCCTGATCCAGAACTTCTACTAGTATCCAGTCTAGCAGTAATGTCGTTTTAACCATCGATTGATTAATATGCATTGAATAAGAATGTCATGACAATATTATGTAACGTTGTCAAATTGAATTTGCATTATGTTGAACCTCAAGATCACATCACACTGATATACATTCAATACAGTCTGTCTTCTTACAGAGTGTGCATAAAATAATCAAAATAATTAGTCTTCAAGTGATCTCTTTTTTATAGTTTATTTAAAACCACAGATATGATACATGACATAAAATACATTGTATGTATACAACCATGTATATAAAACACTAACTATAGAATAACAGTATACCCATACATGAAGACAATATCTACAATGAACTACCTTGATAAACTGGAAAAAAATTACCAATACAAAAACATGCTTTTGTACAGTGTTGGAGTTAAAATAAAGTACTGCTAATGGAGGTGAAAATTGTAATTGTAAACAGCTGTACATGCTTTCATACATAGTATATCTTTTACTCTGCATATTGCATAGGATTATGACCAAATCATGGTCTTCTTTGAGTAGTTGTGTCATTTATTTACATAAGGAATGTAAAAACTTAATTTAACAAATATACAAACTTGATTACAGTATTTAAAAAAATGACTATGTACCTACAATGTACAATCTAAGAGGTGGTACTACTTAGTAATACATATTGTCCTTCTTTCATCATGTCAAGATAAAATCTTCTCTTCCTCCCCAATTTTAATATTTGGTGTCCCTAAACAACATCAAATCCAACGTCCAAATCTGGCACACGCAAGATGTGTTCAAATTATTCTATGGAACAATTGGAAGCCTGTGTGATAACTGTTGGATCCCAGTGTGATGCCGCTGGTCATCACACGGGCCGGAACACCCATATGGAATGTTATTGCTGTCCAGGTATGACATTAAGTGGAAGTTTGAATTTGATACACACCGACACAGCAGGCGTGTAGAGCCAGATACATGTCTGTCTTCCAGCCATATGTTACATTTTAATCTTTCAGTTACACATTTTGAACAAGAAGGCTAATAAGAGCCAGGGACATAAATCCGTGCAACTTAAGATTTAGATAAAAAAAAGGGCAGATATCATCAACATGTGACAGAAAGTCAGTCACTCTGTATGTCTGCCCAACTCATCAGACTATCTCTTGAAACTTCTCAGAAATGAGAGTCCATTGACATTGTACACCACACGTTGGAAAAACAAAAGCCGCCCTGAAACCTGCTTGTTGCAAGAAATGAAGTGGGACATTGTTTATTGATTTTTTTTCAAGGTACGGACAGAATGATGCTGGCACTCTCCTTACAATAATACTATGTATCTAATTCTGTCCTCTTCTATATACAAATCTACGATCTTACCTTGATACCTTGATACCGTCTACAGTCGAGTAAGGCTTCTTCCCGCCTGTTGTGGACTGGTCTTAGACGCCTTCTTCGTACTTCAGGTGCTCCCAGTGTCGATCCAATCTCGTTTTAAACTGGTTGACTGTTTCACTGGATACTACAGTCGGCGGCAGCGAATTCCAGTCTTTGATGACCCTCACACTGAATACATGCTGTCTACTCCTTGACTTGGCCAATGGTACCTTCAACTTGAAGTTGTGGCCTCTTGTTGTACCCCCTGCTAACTCAAAGAAGTTGTCTGCTTGTACCCTTTCCTGCCCAGTCAGGAACTTGAACACCTGAATCATATCTCCCCTTCTTCTTCTATATCCCAGGGACGGTAGTCTAAGCCTCTTTAGTCTCTCACTGTAGGGGAGCTCCCTGAGCCCAGACACTAGTTTTGTAGCTCTTCTCTGCACCGCCTCCACTTTCTGCTGGTCGAGGGAGTAGTGGGGTCCCCAGATTACATTCCCATATTCCAGGTGGGGGCGTACCATGGTCTTGAAGAGTGTAGGGACTGTGTCTTTGTCCAAGTTGTAGAAGGTCCTCTTAATCAAACCCAAGACTTGGTTCCTTTGTTTGCCGCTTTTGCTGTATGTGAATGGAATGAGAGCTGGTTGTCTATTGTTACGCCAAGGTCTTTCTCCTCCACCGTTTCTTCAATGGTTTGTCCTCCCAGACTGTAGCTGTTTTTCTGGTTAGTTCTTCCTAAGTGGAGCACTTTGCACTTAGTAACGTTAAAAAGTAACTGCCATGCTTGTGACCATTCCCCCACTGTGTTTAGGTCCTGCTGCAGTGCATCTTCTCCGGTCTTGTCATGGACAGTTTTTGACAATTTACTATCGTCCGCAAATATTTTTATTCCACTAGCCACTGCCTCGGGTAGGTCATTTATGTAGATCACAAACAGAATTGGTCCAAGGACACTACCCTGCGGAATGCCGCTCTTGACTTCCCTCCAAGACGAAAACTGTCCGTTTACCACTACCCGTTGCTTCCTCAGTCTTAGGAAGTCTTCAACCCAGTTCCTTATGTTGCCACCCACACCGTATCTCTCCAGCTTCCGGAGTAGTCTAACATGAGGAACGGTGTCGAACGCTTTCCTAAAGTCTAAATAGACAACATCTAGTGGCTTCCCCTCTTGTAACAACCTGGTCCATTCTTCCATAACTACTAGGAGCTGGGTCATACATGAGCGCCCCGGCACAAACCCGTGCTGCGCATCTGTGAAGAGGTTGAACTCCATCATATGTTCCACAAGCTTATCCCGGATGATGGACTCCATCAGTTTACCAATCACTGAGGTTAAGCTGACTGGTCTGTAATTCCCTGGTGCTGTTTTACTCCCTTTCTTGTGGATGGGTGAGACATGTGCTTCTTTCCAACCTTCAGGTAACTCAGCTGCCTCCATTGACTTATTGAACAGTATGGACAGGGGTAGGGCTAGGTGATGAGCCATCTCCTTCAGGAACCTGGGATGGATACCGTCAGGACCAGAGGATTTGGACGGGTTTAACTCTGTCAGTTTCTTCAACACCAATTCTTCAGTGAATTCAAAGTCTTGGATCAAGGGTGGAGATTGTAGTCTGTCGATACTAGGGATGCTAGTCAAGTCTTCAGACGTGAAGACACTAGCGAAGAACTCGTTCAGTACTTCGGCTTTTTCCCCATCTGTCTCCGCAACTGTACCATCCTCCCTTATCAGACTGCCTACTTTCTCCCTGCACTGGAGTCTGGACTTAACATACCTCCAAAAGGCTTTGGGGTTGTTCTTTATGTCTTTCACCATTCTGTGTTCAAAGCTGCTGCATAGTTCACGTGTCACACTTCGCAGTTTGTTTCTCTCTTTTGCATACTTCACATAGTCAGTAGTCTTCCCAGATTGTCTAAACTTGGCCCATGCCTTCCTCTTTCTTTCTCTTGCCCTCATGGCTCGCTTGTTCATGTAGAGTTTGTTAGCTCTGAGTCGTGGTTTTGATAGGGGAATGCATTCTTCCACTGTCTTTTCCAAAATATCAGCAAACTCCCCCCATGCCTCCTGTACATCCTTGTCTTCCAGCAACTTCTGCCACTCTACCTCCTGTAGCAAGTTTCCAGCCATGGCGTAGTGCCCCTTGTTGTAATTTCGTCTAGGTATCGTATGGTCCTCCAACATTACTTCTGCTTCAATATGAAATCTCAGACAGCAGTGGTCACCTTTACCCAACCCAGGTAAGTACTCAATGCTTCCCACTGTGTTGTGATCATTGGTGATTACCAGGTCCAATAACGAAGGTCTCTGAGATGCTCGAAAGCGGGTCGGTTCTGTAACATGTTGGTGGAGGAAGTTGTTGTCCAGACAATCAATCAGCATTTGCCCATGATGACCGCTGCCCACTGTAGAGACTCTCCTTTCCCAGTCAACTTCCTTAATGTTGAAGTCCCCGACTATTACGAGATTCTTCAGCTTTCTGTTACACACAGAGCTCAAAAGCTCACAGAGTTTGTTTGTGCTTTCCATAGCATCCCCTGATGGACTCCTGTATATGCACCCAATAGTGAGTTCGTTGTTGCCATCAAATGTGCAGTTTAGGAATAGCTGCTCCTGGAACCCTACCTCGCTGTAATCCATCTCAGTAATTCTAATGTTCAGAGTTTTCCTTACAAAAATGATGATTCCACGAACACCACTGGCCCCAAGATCAGGTAAATCTGGATCAAAGTTAGTGTAGGCCTCATATCCCTCCATCTGTAGCGTACTCATGAAAAGTGGGGCTTTCTGTGCCTTCGGTATAACCTCAGTTATTACAATAAAAGCAGGTAGGTCGTTTGCTATTGTAAACTTCAGTTCGTCTCTCTTATTAGGGAATTGGTCTGCATTTGTGTAGAGAACTGACAGTGTTGTGGATTCCGTGTGTCCCCCTCCTTCCTTATTCTGTGTTCCCTCATTTCCTAGTCATTTGGAGGACCTACTGTCGCTCAGTGTACTTTCTGCTGGGGTCAGAGTTGCAGCGTGTGATGTCTCATGTGAAGTGTCAGTTTTCTTTCCATTCCCCTGGGCTGGTGGAATATTACTTGATGTGATATTTGTAACATTAGTTTCTAACATCTTGCCATCTGGCAGGTCAATTTTGTGCTAAGAATAGTAAGATGTCACATTCGTGGCAACCTGGGGAAGTGCTGAGTTCTTAGATGGCACGTAGCTCCACTGTCAGTTTTCTCGGCTTGTTTTCGCTCTGCTCTCTCAACTCCCGAAGGATGTCCTCGTTTCTGTAGCAACAACAATTACAGTGTAGTGAGTTGACCACTTGTGAAAATACCTGGGAGGGTTAACGTTCCTGAGTACATCTAGAGAACTATCCTCGACCTTCAAGGTGTCAAAACTATATTCAGTTTCAGTTTCAAGTCAAGTTGCATGACATGACACAATCATGTACATGAAATATTTGCACTGCATTGCACGTTAATCACAAACAGGTCATAGCACGTGAACAGTTTGATTTTTGTTCAATTGAACATATTGTCTGGCATATTGACCTCACTCTATCTTTACTTTTTATCTAAGTACTGACATCGTAATTAACTGTGAACTATGCACTGGTTCAGATATAATGACTGACTTTAATATGGTCAATGAACCAATAATAGGTATCTTTTTTGTCAGTATCCTTGCCAGCCATTTTGTTTGATGTGAAGTCCTGAAGGTAGGTCAATCCAAGGGGGTCAGGGGGCATGCCTGAAATCATGACTGAATCATCATTCATGATTTAACTTACTGCAGTTTGGTGGTGTTGTGACTGATGTGGATGTTGGACACAGGCTTCAGCAGTCTTATTGCCATTCTCTTCTTCAATCCTTCCACTGAATCATCCGCCGGGAGTCTGATCCTGATGAAAGGGGAAAGAACTAGAGAAGTAACATTTGCAAAGAAAAAGCATAATGTTTACCTTCGGACATGGTCTGCTCTGTTAATTTTTACTCAAACACAATTTCACATACATGTACTACTAGTATATGGTGACAGGAGCAGAGCAGGCCGTGAAATTGCAACATTATGTAACGCAACACCAGTCACCATGGTGATAGACGTCAACAAATCATGTCATTGGTCAGGTGAGAGGTCACTGTTTGGAGAAGAAGAGGAAGAAACAGAGCAATAACAGTATGTTTTCCTTCAGTAAACATAATATCACTGGAACTCAGATACATGTACCAAAACCTGTTGTGCAGTAGTACCATACAATGCCTCCTAGCTATAGGAGGCCCATAGTCAAACTTGACCTATGTTTTCTTGACACATGCCCACATACCAAATAACAATACATGTACATCAATGACTTCTTGTCAATAAAACAGTTGTTGTATCCACTTAACCTTACAAAGTGTGGGGAAAGAATGGGACAGCATTCTTAAGAAATATCAGCAATGATGATAACTCATTGACATTTGAGATAATTACAGTTACAAGCAAAATTTATATACCTCATAAAGTCTTGGTTCTCAGAGGAGGCATCGTCTAAACTGTCTATGTCATAATCATCATCATCATCATTCTCCGTCAAATTGTCTGCATCATCTGGAAAAAAAGAGACGTCGTTGATAACAAAGACTTTAAGTGGTTTTACCATTTAGTTTGTCCTTTTTGAAGCATGTTGCAGTTTTATTTGAGGGGGAGGGGTACAAAAGAGACTGTATATAATTCAATGAAAACTGTAATTTGTAGGTATTTAAATTCAAAGTAATGCATTATTTTATTGCTGAGGACTTGATTTGTAATTTGCACTCACAGATGTCGACCCCCATTTGAAGGTAAGTGACTTCAATTTCAACTGAGCAAGATTCACCCCTTGTAACACTTGAGTTAAACAACATGTGGACTATTGTATATATGAACTCCAACACAGTACCAGGTCCATCCAAAATATACACATGTGCAGTCAGCATTACCCTATCTAGAATTTACATCTGAACTGCTCAGTGCAGCAGATTTGTCACTTGCATAACGCATATCTTTTGAACATGTTAGCTTCTTTCTTTTTTTTTAAACACAAATTCTCATCTCATTCTCATCAGTGTTTGGTCAACGATTAGCCGAATGGCCCTGTGTCACTCCACCGTACAGGGAGGGAAGTCACGATCGTGTAAAGTGCCTCTCCATAAAGGCACAACATCGGGTATGTCAGGATTGAACATGTGACCTCTTGGTTCTGAGCTGAACTCTCTCATCTAGCCTGTTCGCCTGTTTGGCATGGGTGGACCACACTACTTTAAGAGACACAAAAAATCTTAATTACACACCTTGGTCGACAAAGGTCAGCTCAAAGTAGGCGTGGTTAGGATTTCGATACTCCTGCGGCCACTGGTAGCCCTTGCCCTGCGGTTTCTGCCCATGTCGCTGCAGCCCGGGGTCCTTCGCGTTCTTCCCGATCCCGTACACGTAGAACAGCTTCTTCCCACGAGCCCTTGCAGGGCCTCGGCAAACGTGCTGCAACTTGAAGGCATCTTTGGGATCTAGAATTGCATCTGTGAAAAGATAGGTACATGCATATGTGTATCAGAACCTTTCTTAATTCTTGGATCTGTTGATATAAAATAGTACCAAGGACATTATACATAATGCCCTTGATAGTACACAGCAAAAGAATATTAACGACACGACGACCGGAAGACCAAGGAACTTCTGAAATCAACATAATGTCCTTGGGAAGACAAACTTGCATCTCACTACATGCTCCTACTTCAACTGTGTGTACTATATCCCCTCAGCCTCTATTTTCATGTTGATGTTTCAGCTCAACTTTATTCTTTACTAGCCTCGGGGTACCATCCCAATTTTCAATACTGAGACTCCCACATTTACTCAAGCATACGACAAGTTGGGCCGTGTAGTGTAACGGTAGAGTGTTTGACTCAAAACCAGGTTCAACCTGCCATGCCACTGATCTTGTGCCCCTGGGAAAGGCACTTAACACAACTTTCCTCACTTAACTTGGGTGAAAATGAATATTTTGGGATACTGAGTCAGATGTCAGATAAGCCAAAACCTTAACAAGACAGACAACATCATGTTCGGAGATAGCTTAAAGTTAAACAGGTGAATTTGCAGCTGACCTGCGCTGTAGTCCTTAAACTGTGGGTGGTAGAAGTACCCCTCCTTTAGCCTCTTGACCGGCTTGCTGCCCGAGCTGCCTGCAGGAAGACTGCCCTCTGCCGCTATGACGTTGTGCGGTCGTCGATATCGCACACTCCCGTGTCCAAGATCCACCAGTTTGGGGTTGTCAATTAGAATCGTCTGGTAAGAGAAGTCAGTAACAGATTTTTTTAAAAACTTTTCCGTGTCCGCCACAGCACTTTATTAAATGCAAATGTTCAGTAATATGTCATAACAAGTTCTCAACAAGGTGTACAAAGTGTACTCACTCATGTGTACATAGAACAATAATAAAGGAAAGTATTAACCACATCGCCTTTCTGCAGTTTTCTATGGTCATCTTTGTATCTCAACCAGGACGTATGGATTGCATACTTAGCCAGTAACAGTAAGTCAGTGACAGATCAGAACGTGCAATCTCCAAAGTCAGACCACGGATATTCAATGCAACCTATCAAATCAACCCACACTATGTTTTACCCAGCTCTTTCTGTCTTTCTGTCATTTGACAGAATTTTGTTGCTTATGACAGACAAAAATTTCCGTCATCTTTGATGGACAAAAATCAGTTTTGACGGAGTATACTGGTCATTCTTTTGTAACACTTAACATTGCAAAAAAAGTTAAGCCTACATGGTTCAATGACACTTCAGTCAGTTGTTGCACGAGGGCCTTTACAGGGGGAGATGTAATGTAGTGATGACGAATTACGCAAAATTTTCACCACCCATTACGAATTAAATTCACAGAGCTGATTACAAATTACGTTAAATCCTTTATGGATTACGATTTACGTTGAATAAAGGTATTTCACATTTAAAGTTCCATGACGTTACATAGAATAAAAACGACCACGTTACGGCTAATGTACTGATTACAAATTACATTGATTTTGGGTGACTGACTACGGATTACAAAGTCTTAAAAGGCCTGATTACGCGTAACGAAAATTGCGCCTCTGGCGGAATTCTTGTTCATTGCATCGAAAATTCTGTCATGACCATTCCCAGGATGCACTGTGGCCCAGATATCGGAAGAACCGAAGAAGGACGATGAAACTGAGAACAGTTGCGTTTGTTTAAATTGATAATGTTTGACGTTTTACTCCTGAATGTGAATGTTCAGGAACTATGCCACTGGCTGGGACGCAAGTATCCGACAGTCTGGCCAACTTGTCATCACATTGTCGCACAAATATTTTTCTGAAAAACTTAACGTTAAACCCCAACAATCCACGTTTCAACTTTGTGAACAAGCTGTGTCACCACACAGTGTGCCAAGTTGGCAGCTTCACCTTCACCAAGCACATATGTTAATGTTTGACAAATGCTTAGTTGTTTCCACATGTGAAAACACTTAACATATGCAGACCAAGGATGTGTTACTTCAAGAAAATCACACACCAAGAAAATCTGATGATGAAAGTTTTGAGCTGAAATTTGGAAAATGTTAAACTATGTACATGTACGACGAATCTGACGCTTTCTTTGCTCTGTTGAAGCAAGTGGGTGGTTGCACTTGCTGCGTTGAACTTGAAGCAAACATTTTAGCGACTGCCATTGCCATGGAAACGTGACGCCGTATTTTTTCCAGCCCCGGAAACGAAGCCCCCCCCCCCAAATTATATTTTGGCTCGTACAAACCTGGTTTGTTTTCTTTCCTTGTTGTTCTGCGTACTCAACGCGGGGACTGAGGGGCATCCCCTCCGCAGTACTTGCACCCGTGCCCATCTTTGAGCGGGTACAATTGTTTATGAGAACAAAAACAACACCAAAACTTTCTAGCTAGCTACGACATTTTTTCTACGGCCTAGATAGTCACGTGATGCTGTATGCGTCTCAGTCTCGCGAGGATACACGAGACTTGGCGAGACTGACACCTGTTAGTGATCTAATCACTAGTGACGTACATAGCTATGTCAAGGGAGTTAAATTTAAAGTTGAATTTAACCTTCTTGGTTATACTAGTATAAGTTACTCATATATATATAGGTTGCCAATATTCAGGTTAAATATGACTATTCTAAGAGCCGTAACTTCACCTTCACCTTGTCCCTTCCTCTTCTGGAGGGTCGGGGACTGTGGTTGCATAGGGTTGCCGTAACTTAGGGCTCGAATATTTTTTTCTGCATCACCCGCACCAGTGCAGGTGACTTTAAAAATTGCCTGCAACGGACAAATTTTACCTTCACAACTCAATTGACTTTGAGAAGTATGGATTATCTATACGTAACTAAAAGCTGTTCAGAAACCTTGTCTTTTTATACTTCATATATGGTGACAGTCAATGCATCAAATAGAAATCACATATATCTAACGTAACATGTAACGTGTTATGTATATAAAACTAGAACCGTAGTGGACCAGTGCAGGTTAGGAGGAGGTAGGCCATAATTAGATACCCGAACAGCCCAAATTTTACTTTAACTGCATATTACGTTACACACAGTATTTCGAGCCCTGAATTCCCTCCTATAAACATATGTTACATGAATGTGTCTATCCCTGCGAAAATGAAGCGTCATGATTGGACACAGCAAAAAGACCCAGAATTCAAAGACATGTCCAAATAAACATCGGCGGTCTTGACGTTTCCATGGTAACTAAGAGACGCAACGTCACTTGTTGGCGTCGACATGATTGGCTAACCACACATTCGTGTCTAGAAAAAGAGTATATAGAGGGCGATCATTCGGCAAATCTGCGGCACTTTCTCTTCTCTTTGCTTCTGTTTAACTCTTGTGGAGTTGGACAGACGGCAAAATGATAGCTGCACTGCTCTTCGCTCTGGTGGTCCTCCATTCTCCAATCTTCAGTGTCGGTGTTGTTGGTTTCGCCATACCCATACGATCGTTTTTCAGGAACGCCGACAATGATGCCTCGCCTGCGATCCCAACTTCTGACGAAGAGGACAACTTAGGACCGCCTTTCAACAGTCTCTGCGCTTCACTGTCGTCTGCCGCGAATAGGCGGGGAAAAGAAGGGCAGAAACTGGGCATCAACAGCTTCATGCTGTCTTTCTTCTGCCGACAGCGGAAAACGCGATCTGATGACCAGGTGCTGGCGGTCCCGTGTAATGGCTCCAAGAGTCAGGTAAGTGTTGTTTTTTTCTTGCTCGCGTAAGTCAAAATGATCATTGCTTCACTTGCGCTCTTGTTGTGACTGTGTGTGCGTTTCTCTTTCTTTCTCTCTCTTTCCTTCTCTCTCTCTCTGTGCTGTGAGTGTGTGTGTGTCTGTAGGTGTGTGCGTCACGGTTTGTGTGTAAGTTCGTGCATATTTCTCTCTCTCTCTCTGTGCGTGAGCGTGTCAAAAGTTTGTGTGTGTGCACGTGCGCCCGTGTTACTCTCTCTCTCTCTCTCTCTCTCTCTCTCTCTCTCTCTCTGTGTGTGTGTGTGTGTGTGTGTGTGCGTGCGTGCGTGCGTGTGTGTGTGTGTGTGTGTGTGTGTGTGTGTGTGTGTGTGTGTGTGTGTGAGAGAGAGAGAGAGAGAAAGAGAGAGAGAGAATTCCAAATTTGCTTCCATTCTTTAGCCACAGCCAAGTAAATTTTATGATGACATCCGCAGACTCCAATCTAATGCAATAGGGCAAAACAAAACAAGGCGACCCAAAAAAAAAGATTCTTTCATTTTCAAATTTTGAGGTCATAAGCCTTGTTAAACAAGAATTCAGTTGCATGCGGTGGAACATGTCAGTGTCAACATTTCCGATCAAACACGAACCACTGTGCCTCAAGTTTGCTGGATCCCTGATGGTCTCCGAACCGATAGGCATTTACAACATATTTGCCCATTTTCGGCATGTTGACCACCGTCAGAGGGCAATTTTTTCCAAAATCATGCGAAAATTAATGCACGCGCTGATGTCATCCATACAAATTACTTGCTGTGGCGTTACTGGTATGTACCTGCAGGACATTGCCTTCTCACAGTCACTTGTCACTGCAGCTGTGCATGTAGTTTCACTTTGGATGTCAGAGGTGGTTGAATAGGAAACAAACACTTGAGGAGTCAGCCCCTCTCTATCCAAACAATACCATACATGGGTAAATCCAACAACAGGACCACCTTGGATCATAACCTTGAGGTGAATTACAAGTACTCCCTGCCAAGTAGTCTATCGAGAGGGCTGAAAAATTGTACACTTTTGTCTAAATTCGGCGCCAAATTTGGCGCATTGCAGTATGTATTAAAATGTATTCCAAAGAAATATGGTTTATGAAGGCAGTGGTCGCTGAAAATTTGATCCGTGTACATATTGTGTGTTGGAATAAAGTTCAACCTTTTACTATGATTACTACCAACACAGATGAACTTTCATGATAATTTATGAAGGCATTTTAATTTCTGCGGTAAGCGTGAAGCCGCATGCCAGGGTACAATATCCACATTTGTTTGAATCATTCTTTATTCATGATGCCATGTGTGTGTGCGTGCGTGCGTACGTACGTGCGCGTGCGTGCGTGCGGGTTGAAAAATTGAAATATCTTATTCACAAAATATTCGTGTTACATACTTGTGCAATCATCTCACATTGCTGTCACTTATTTATGACGCTAAAACAGCCCACACGAAGCACACTCAGTTTGTGGTGCCACCACAAACTACCAGAATGTAAACAAACAAGGCTGACAGCTATGTCTCTAGAACTCTCGTAAGACGTCATATTTTGGCACCTCCACTTCCTGAATGGTACTTATTTGCAATGGACTATAGTGTTGAGTCAACTTGAAAATTGCCTTTTTGTATCGTCGTAATGTTACATAGTGCTGCTTTAACATCTTCCCATCCCAGCCAAGAGAGCACTATCTCATGTCTTCTCAGTTTCAACTATGATGGTAAACTCATCAAGTAGTTGTGGGACCCTTGATCTTTCTGGACTCCATCTTTGAGAGGACGCGCCAACAGTCATAGTAGGGGGCTGGAACAGCCAGTCGGTTTATACAGGTGCGTGTGGTAGTGCCAACTATATATATATAGACAGGGCGAACGTCAGCACCTCAGACACGAGCCTGTCTGTTAAAACAAACTGTAAGGGTGACATCTGCCCGCGCGACACCGCTGACACTGATATTTACTGATGCAATCTGTCTTTTTTCTTATCTTTCCACAGCACACTGACCTGCAGATCCAGGGTGCTCGTTTCTTGTACAGCTGCCAGTTTCAGTTCGCGATGCGGGAGGCAGCGGTGGTGCAGCGCGGGGAACTGGTCCTGAAGTTTCCCGCCGGGAACAGACACATCCCGCCCTGGCTGTTCCTGGTGCCGGATTTACACGGGTACCGTCTTTCATTTTGCTGCTTCTTTGCATGTACGAGTGGCAAGAGTTGCACAAGGGGCTAGCCAAACTTTCACCTTGATATGCCCCAATAAGTAGCAAAGCAGTACTTGTTTGTTTGTTTTTATTAGATCTCCATTAGTGTTCAACTGACCACTATTCTTCCTGGAGTCCTACTTCAAATCCACTAAGGATTGAGTTTACTGTTTGAACTGGGTACCACAAAGGTGTTACATGAGAAACGATGTAACTTATGAATGTATTATGTTCTCCACCCCTCCACAAGCCATACATGTATCACTGTGTTCTCCACCCCACTGTAGGCCATATTATGTATCTGTATAGCCGGTATAAACACCGGGGGCTTCGGCGTAACACATGAGCACGCGGCGCGGCGACAACTGGCTACATTACACCGATCGACGTGTTACACCAAACCCTTGAACATCCAACTCTAGACATTATAATTGTGTTCTCCACCCCTCTGTAGGCCAATGGTCCGCGCTGCATTCAAAAGAACTATAGAAGAGGGTGAGGTCTATGACGCTACAGAGACTATCCGACAATGGTCCAAACAGCCCTTTTCACCAAGGGCATTTGATATCTGGCAACCTTGCGTCACCAATGGGTCAGTGATTGATTGATTGATTGATTGATTGATTGATTGATTGATTGATTGATTGATTGATTGATTGATTGATTGATTGATTGATTGATTGATTGATTGATTGATTGATTGATTGATTGATTGATTGAGTGGTTGATTGATTGATTGGTTGGTTGATTGATTGATTGATTGATTGATTGATTGATTGATTGATTGATTGATTGATTGATTGATTGATTGATTGATTGATTGATTGATTGATTGATTGATTGATTGATTGATCCCGATCGGGGCCCGGTTTGGGAATGTGACCTTAGCATGACTTCATTCGGATCTCAACAAGTTAAACTTAAATAAATAACACTGATGTTGTTTGTGATAGAATAACGCTGTGTTCCGGAAGCGAGGACCCCTCCCAGGCCTGGCAACTCCCGTTCCTGGCGATGTACTACCGGAAAAGGGAACCAGACGACGTCATCACCTATCAGGACATCCTGTTCCAGTTCACGGAGGACCCGGAGCAGTACCAGCCCAGGGACCGGATGGTGAAGGCACAGCGTCCCATGGAGATAGTCATAGGTTTGTAGTAGATATGAAAGTGAGTGAGTGAGTGAGTGAGTGAGTGAGTGAGTGAGTGAGTGAGTGAGTGAGTGAGTGAGTGAGTGAGTGAGTGAGTGAGTGAGTGAGAGTGAGTGAATTGTAGTAGCTTTCCACAGCATGAGATTATGAAATGAATATCACATGGTAACGGCAAACTCAAGTTGTTTTTTAAACTTGCATCACTTGGATCAACTAGTAGATGAATACTGAGAGACTAAATGTAAGTTACCAGCTCCATCATAGATTTCTTGTCTTGTAGTGAATGGCGAGGTCAGTGCTGCACCAGAGGATACAGATGATGAAGTACCGGATGACCAGCTGCGTCAGGAAGAAGACGACGGGCTCCTGTCGACGCTGTGGAACATCTCCCGGTCCGACAGCTCCAACCCTGCCCGTGCCGACAGCGCGCTGATGGCGACCTACCTGATGGACAGGCTCAACACCACCAAACAGCTGGAGAACTTCACTTTCTTCGTCATCCCGTGTACACATCAAGGTAAGGGCCGGTCATACAAATGTACACGCAGTCTTGTGCATGTTTCCCTTTGGTGTATACACGTTTGTGAGCTCGTGTGATAATACGATGACGATTCTTTTCAGTGGTAATTTCTGGCGCTCTACCAGCAGTGCGTTGCAGGTTGAAGTTGCCTGACTGGGGGTGGGCCTCCGAAGCCGTCCTGGTCGTCGGCGACGGCCCGAACCAAAGTGTCAATATCTTAGACTTGGAGAGGTCTGGGCACGTCAGCGCTATCATGGGAGTGAACTACCTGGTCCCGCTGAAGCACACAACCGTCAACAGGACATCCGTGTTGGAGGGAGACGTGCTGAGGATCATCAGACGTTGGGCACGAAGTGGGCGAAAGACGGGGAGGGTTCTCATCGAGTACTCGTCGACGTCAGAGGGACCGTGGCAGGAGAGCGGCAACGGGGGAGGGGAGAAGGGCGAGGGAGTCCCGTTCGGCTCCGTCTTCGTGTTCCTGAAGATCAGCAAAAGGGCGCAGCAGGCTGACCCGTTCCGGTGGAGGATGGACGCGATCAAGAGGAACGAGATGGGCTCAGGTCATCAGGATACCGGGAACGAGCCTGACAACGACACTGACGTCACTGACCTGGGGATGAGGGAGTGGAGTAACGCTAGTGACGTCATGACTGGTGGGATATTTTTGTTGTTGTTGTTCTTGTTGTTGTTATATAATTGTTGTTGTTTTTTTACTTATTTGGTTACAGCGTAACAAGACCAGAGTGTATACTGTCGGAAAAAACTTTAGTATCCGTGAATAGTTTCATCAGGTTGGTAAGTCACTGAGTAAAGAGACTCTTTTTCCAAAACCAAGTGTTTTTCAGCCGACGTCACTTTCCTCGGGCCGGCAATCCTGACTGATACACATTGCACTGCAGCACAGGGAAGGTGACAGACGGTCACCGGAACGTCGGCTGAATAAAACACTTGCTCAAGCTCCAGTGTCTTTCTTCTCCTCAGACGTGACCGCGACTCCTGTAGTGACCAGCCTCCTGGCTCCGGAAGACGCCTGCCAGCGGCCCGGCTTCCCCTGCCCGGCCCCAACTTCCCTCACCGTCCGCCGGACTGACCAGGGGACTGACCACGTCAGGGAGTACCTCATAGAGCTGCTGAAGAAAGGCGGGAACCAGACTCCTCAGATGTGGGTGATTGCCTGCAGCGTCATGGCAGGTCGGGACGTTTAAACACATTTTATATGGCATTGGCTTGTGTACTATCTTGATGATTTGATTCTATGGATGACATTCTCTGGGAACCCTAAACCTGATGCGAGCGTGTGAACAAAAAAGTTTGGTAAAATAAGTTGCTTTTATTATGAAATCTACATGGTCATGAGGGTTGAACAAATGACTAAAACACATAAAGTATAGTATGGCGAATAACACACTCATTTAATTTGGCCATTTACGGCCTATCTTTGCTCATTTTGAAGCTGCTTTGTACAATTTACATAATGGTCAAAAATCCATACAATCAAATCGACATGGTCTTTTGTTGTTGTATGTTATATAATGTGTTATATAATGTGTATTCTATACAGTTTAAACACCCCGGCAACACTTCTTCTACCAGTGTGGCGAGCGAAGAACGGACTCAAAAAGCCGCTCTGGATTCGCATGGGCGAGTGAAACACCCCGCATTTACTGGAATAAATGAGTGAGTGTGTGAGGGAGCGAGCGAGCGCGTGCGTGAGTGAGTGAGTGAGTGGGCGAGTGAGAGATCGAGCGAGTGAGTGAGTGATTGTGTGCTTGAGTGAGTGAATAAGTGTGAGTGAGTGAGTGAGTGAGTGAGTGAGTGAGTGAGTGAGTGAGTGAGTGAGTGAGTGAGTGATTGTGTGCTTGAGTGAGTGAATAAGTGAGTGAGTGAGTGAGTGAGTGAGATCGAGCGAGTGACTGACTCGATGACTGACTGAAGGAAGGGAGGAATCGAAGGACTACAACCCAGCTATTTTATGCAATTAGAAGAAAGCATACGTTACTACAATGTAGTCGGGATGAAGCACTCACTTCCTTTTGCACCTCTTCCAGCGTACCTGGATGGCATGGTCTGCAACATCACCCTGGACGGGGCTCCCGTGCGGCCCAAAAGGGTCGACCTGCACCTCAACTTCAGCCTGTCCCCGCCGGACAACACCTCGTCTTCGCTGGAGGTGGACGTCTTCCACTGTGACGGCATCACCGTGACCAAAGTGGCCATCCTGCGGGAGGCCGGCGCGCACGTCCTGTCGGTCACCAGGGTCACCGACAACTGGATGGACGACGCGGAGTGCATCAAGGGATTCTTCTTCCGCCCGATCTGCTTCGACCGTTCCGCCATGATGGTCGCGTGCGAGGAGACGGTCCAGTTCGACAACGTCCCGTTCATCGTGGTCTTCCCCAAGGACAGTTCTGGATAAATCTGTACCTGTCGGACTTGCAATGCACAAAATAATCCGTGCTTTAAAGCACGTGTGAAGGTTCCGTTGCTTCCTTTGTGTGCATCTTTACGCATGGTTTACAGTGTGTTGAAGGTAGAGTTTTGCGCAGTGTGCAGGCCACTTCAGCTGTGGACGAAAATTCATACTGGTATTGTACAGAAGAACGTACTAGAAATGTTAATAGTTTATGATGCAAATGTGTACAGTTTCATAAAAGTTGGTGACCGTAACGTCATTTTGCGACAAGTAGTAGTACGTAGAGTCCATTCATACTCCGAGGAAGTTGTATAGCAGTAAAGTTGTCCAGATGACTTACATTCATCTAGCTTGTGTCTTAACCTTTTCAATGACCTAACAATTACAATGTACATGACGCTGTTCATAGACTACACATATTTGCTCATAGTTATCGCCTCAGTTTTATGTACTAGGCATAAATGTGTGATTGTATATTATGTGTAAGTCGGAAGATGGCGCTTCTGAATAGGGAGCTAGGAACAACTTCACAAGTGAACGGCTGAATACATTTAGAGGACTGCTACCTACATGTACAATATCATGCTTAATAACTGCAACAGGTACTAATTTAGACTCGACTTTGTGACACGGAATTTCAACTTAACTGAGCTGAAAAGTCTACGAGTAGAACATTTTGAAAATATAACATGACATAATATAACATAATATAATACTAGTATAATATAATAATGTAACGTACACGTGATTAACTATCGACCTTACTACCACCAAGCATTTTATCCACTGGATGAACTAGAATCGTTCCTCAAGGTAACTTTAACTTGTACAGTGTAGCATAGAATAGTATACTTAGGTATATACGTACTACAGTAGTCGTGTAATCCATGGAAAACAGGGCCAAGCTTTGGTTTCTTCTACACAAGTTATTACGTAGAGCTTTGTTGATATCCGATAGCCATTTTAAACATAAGTATTCTTCATATATTAAGTACTATGCTTCACTATATAGTGAAGCTTATATAAGTACTATGCTAATATAACCCTTAGCATAATTTATGCTTAATAACTTCATATAAGTACTATGCTAATATAACTCACTTAACTTCACGCCATATAATACCACTGTATCTAGTTGTGCAAGTTATCAATAAAAAAATTGGACTTGCAAACATGGTGTGATTCTTTTTTTTTTACCAATTGCAAGACAGATAGAGCAGACTGTAGACTTAAGCTGCATGTTCACCTGCATGATATAATTTGTAACTCGTTATGTGTCTTTTATCTCATTTAACTCAATGGAGAATTCGAAAAGACGTATAGCCGCATAATTTTACTCATGAACAGATACATAGCACCACGTTTACTACTAGTACTGCATGCACCTAGTTCTGAAGATTACCTACTCTTTGTATACATATAGAAGATATGCCCAGCTCACATCAAATGTTCCCAATGCAGTTTTGCCGATTGAAAACAAGATTTTACAAATAATCTAAGGGTTAGAACCCCAAATTTCACATATTGGTACCACAGGAGGTGGCAAATTTTTATTATGGTTTTTAAAAAGTAGGGCTCCTGTGGAATATATTTTTATGAGATAGCCATCACAGAGTGTAACCGAATACCTTTAATGAATTGTAGATTACTGGCGACTTGATACAAGCCACAATATAATACATCGATTTGAGTTAATTCACGCAAGGAACGAGGAATTTAGACAGACGTTACGAAGGAAAAGGCATTCTGAGCTTTCCAGTAGAGATATTCCTCCAAATGAACTTGACCATTGGCCTTTGCATGGTCAAGGCCATCGGTGCCACCACCATGGTCTAAAGCAAAAGTGCCCTCTACCGACTTCAGTTGGTGGTGCAGCTCTTCCTCAGAATTTGCCCCCCTGACTGACTGTCTATCAGGGGTTCCGAGTGGGGTTCCTAGAGGGGTGCCCTGGGTTCTCTGCAGGGAGTAGCCCTCTGCCAGGGACGGGACGTCTAAATGCTGAACGAGGACCTCCGGGATCGGTAGGTTTGCCGCCAGCAGGCCTCTCGGAGAAGGCTGGTTCCCCCCTCGGCACGAGGCCCGGCGTTTGCCGCAGGATGATATCGCCTGGAATAGACCTCGGTTTGTCAATGAAGATATACATTGGACTAACAATTGATGGTGTGCTGTTTTTTGTTTGTTTGTTTGTTTGTTTGCTTCGCATTATTGGTAAACTGCCTTAAGACGTAACACACCGGTTTTGGGCAGTTACAGTAAGCACCCCCATGAAACTCCTTCCTCTTCGCCCCCGCCGTTCTGCTTCGCCCCCGCCCCGTTCTGCTTCGCCCCCGCAAAAAATCTGCTTCGCCCCCGTCGTTCCTCTACGCCCCCGGCGCAATTCTGCTTTGCCCCCGTCCTTCTGCTTAGCCCCCAATGGCGGCACAGCTCACAGTCGACACGAAAATCGTCTGCAAAATAACAATAAAGGCTGTGCCGCCAAATTTAAAGTAGCCCATGCTCCGGCAAACATTCTGGACCACCTTTCTGCCAAGTGGCGTTGCACAAATCCTTCCCATTCAAAAGTTTACCCCTTCCTCACGGCCCGTCAGTGGTTCTTACGTTTATAAGTACTGGCGGGAAATTTCACTCACGGCTGTACTTATAAACGCCAGTACTTATAAACGTAAGAACCACTGACGGGCCGTGAGGAGGGTAACTTTGAATGGGAAGGATTTGTGCAACGCCACTTGGCAGAAAGGTGGTCCAGAATGTTTGCCGGAGCATGGGCTACTTTAAATTTGGCGGCACAGCCTTTATTGTTATTTTGCAGACGATTTTCGTGTCGACTGTGAGCTGTGCCGCCATTGGGGGCTAAGCAGAAGGACGGGGGCAAAGCAGAATTGCGCCGGGGGCGTAGAGGAACGACGGGGGCGAAGCAGATTTTTTGCGGGGGCGAAGCAGAACGGGCGGGGGCGAAGCAGAACGGCGGGGGCGAAGAGGAAGGAGTTTCATGGGGGTGCAGTAAGTACAAGCTGAGGAAGAATGTCTCCCAAACACTGCCGAACTAGGGATGTGACAGTTTACACCCTACCTGTTCCTTCTAGCCCATGAATCTCCAAACTGGACCAAACGTTTAAAGAGAAGTAAAGGATTTTCAAAGGTATTGCTGCCCTCTAACCCCCTGTCCCCTGAATGTGTGAGGGATGACTACTTTGCCCACCTGTCGGAAGCTGCTGCGGAAGCTGTGCGACATGAAGGCGTAACAGACGGGGTTGGCGCAGCTGTTCAGGTAGGACAGCAGGCGGAAGGCGATGCGCATGGCGTACACGTGCTGGGTGTGCTCGTCCAGGAGGTTAAAGGTCACCAGAGTGTGGAGGATCAGCAGCGGTCCCCAGCAGGACACAAACACCGCCATCACAACCAGCAGCATCTTCATTATCTGGAGGGGAAACATCGTGAACAGCTGCCAACAGCTGCTCCGTCTATACAAGTCCTCAAACAACATTATCCAATCTGTTCTTAAATCTGAAGTGATATTCCGCAGCAGATTCTTTCGCAATAACTGGGCCTGTCTGTACATATAGTCATATTATTCTTTTACTGAATCAGATGTAATTGTGTTGTGTGTATTTTATATTTATGTTGTATATGGGTGAGTTATGCCTGAAATAAAGAAATAATAAATAATAGGTACCTATAATTGTTTGTGTACTTTCAGAGCGATCGTATTATACTTTAAATACTGGCTGAAGTCGCCTCGCCCCCCCCCCTCAAAAAAAGTTACAGCGCGTGTCCGTGTGTGTGCGAGCATGTGGCTGCCTGGTGTTTGGCTGTGCTAGCCAAATGTTGAAAATGTTTAAATTAAAACATTGGGGTATGGCCATATGGTTGGTAGATGATTGACTCATGTGCAGGGGTCAAATTTGACTCAAATTTAACTCGAATTAGATTAGAATAGGAAGTTAGGCGTGTCCTAAATCTGAGCAGACTGTTTGATGTGAACTTCAGCCAACTTTGGTTGGTCGGTAGTCATCATCATCTTAAGTACTGCTGAGCCCAATTTACATTGGATTACTAGCAGCTGCACATGTAGTTGGGAGAAGGTTCTGAATGTGTGGCAATGTTTTACCTGTAAGCCGTTTTCGTCCCCCAGGACTTGGAACGATGGTTTTCGACTATTGGTTGAACTATTCTCGTCTGCGTTGCCCTGGGTGATGGTCTCCAGCTGCATTGACGTCATTCTGGGCCCGTGTGGCATGTTCTCAGCGGCCCCGACTACCTCGGGGTTTTGCGGGGTTCGCCGAAGATGTTCCGAGAAACGGCGAAAGGACATCATCTTTCTGCACATCAAAACATGAAGAAGAAATCAGAGATTTTATATTTTCGTGAAATATGTACAGTTTTGGGAATTTTTCTGTTTACATCTATTCATTTATCAACTGGCACCCGGCCAACAGACTCCAGACCAAGTTCTTGTTGCATTCCTGCCTGCTTCTGAGACCTATGTCTGACCTTCTGTGGTCTGTGGTTAGGGAATTCCCCACCTAAGTGCTGTCACTTAACTCTATGGGCACGCAAGCAAACACACACAAACGCACACAAACACACACATAAATGCACACATACACATACACGTGCACACGCACACACACACACACACACAGACAGACACACTCGCACACACAGACAGACACACAGAGACATAATTTGAGGTACTTTATGTGCTTCCACTCCTCACTGCTTGGAGATGTCCTGGTATGTTTATTACTGTGATGTGCACCAGTACTCACCCTTCGTTTTCGACATTTTCTTTCTGTTCACTTTCTGAACTCTGACCTCTCCGCCGCTGCACGATTTCCCAGATGACGCAGCCGTAGGAGAAGCCCATTATGGCGAGGGGGAGGAGAAAGAGGACCAGCAGACCGTACAACACGTACAGACGCTCGTACACTACCGACGCCCACACCTGCTGACAGTGGTAGATGGTATCGCCCGTCCCCCAGTCATATCCCACAAGACCCTGCGGGGTGGATGAAAAGCACTTGAAGACAGTCTTAAGAGCAGAATCAACTTTTATAGTTCTGCACTTTATGCAATCATTGATATTGATAAATAATCTGAATAAAGAGATTTTTTACACAACTAAGCGTTTTATTCAGCCGACGTTTTGGTGACTGTCTGTCACCTTCCTCAGGGCGATTCTGACTGTTCCACAGTGCACAGCACAGGTGTCGCTGCCAGATACCTGTTCCCTGTAACAGTGTAGATACGTAAGCATCTTTAGCAGCGGCACATGTGCTGTGCAATATATCAGCAGTCAGAATCGCCCTGAGGAAGTCCACAGGCAGTCACCGAAACATTGGCTGAATAAAACACTTCATTGCTTAAAAAGAGTATCTTAATATTCAGTGACTTACCAACCTGGTGGAACTATTCAAGGATGATAAATACTCCATTTGAAAACAACACCCTCCTCCCAACTTTTAAAAGCAATCTGGAGTTCCGTACTTGGCTCTGCTCGAGGGCTAACTATGCCCAGCATGGCGGAAATTACGAACAGTGTTTCTTCATCATAAAATAGCCCTGATGATTGATGTAGGGTATCTGGTGCTTACATTCTCATACATGTCCTAATGGATAGAACTGCAGGCAAGAGATACCACGCAACAATCGTTACAAGCACGAGCCCACGGCTATTCAGAAGTGACTACTCTCCAAGCATTTTAATCGGGCTCTCTTTTTGTACTGGTAACCTCTTTACGCCAGCCTAACTGGTGGAAAATGGTAACTGCCTGGCCAATTTGATACTGTCCTGGCGGCCACCGATAGATCTGCGTTGAGATTAATAATTTACAGGAAATACACACTCGATCACTTCTAAAGGGAACATCATTTTTGACCTTATCAAAGTCTACTGTTTTGCTGATGAAATGTTGTTGCTCCGCCTAATCATTAGTAGTAAGTACACCTCAGTTTCTTTGAAGGCTGTACATGCTCAGTCCACATTATATGAACGGAAAAATATAACTCTTCAGCTACAAAATCATCTGAATTTTGTTTCATAGCTTTTTGATTTATGAGTTTCTGTCCATGAAAATTTGACATTTTACGTGGTGTAAAATCTACTCTTGCATCAAAGCCAGCGAGGTGAGTGATAAAGCTGCAGGTCTTGGCTATAGTTGAGCCGATTACAACGAAAATCGATCAGCTACAATCCTCCCGATGATCCAAGGCTCCAGGCATCGCAATTTTACTCGCAAAACGCAGCAGAGGCTAATCCGTGTTAAAGGAAGCATCACTTTGGACATTCGGGATAGCCGGAAGTAAGCTTCTAGCTTCAAATCAATTTGTACTCAACCAACACACAACATTTCCTGTGCACGCCATTTTGTAGTAGATTTTGAGCGATGGGAATTCAAACTTGCCCCCCGCCCCACACCCAAAACCTTGTCTTCACCGTATTTGTAGCCCATTTCTTTCCCCGTTCACGGGAGAATTGGGGGTGTGCCCTCTTCAAAACGAATACACGAGCTTCTTATTTTGTTGTCGGCTAAGTGCCGCATTTTTCCTATCGCCCCCGCAGTCTGTCAACTTTGCCATCAAGTTATTCATGACTATTTCTTCGGCACAGCTCATTTTGATAAGATTTGACCCCCTGGTTTTACCCTGACCCTGTCATGTCAGAGGCAGGCGCGGGCAGGGAAATTGGTAGGAATGAAAGCTTTGAATTCCTCGCGGCTTGGAATTGAGGAAATAGGCCTGCGAACACGCAAACTTCAGGCAGAACACATGATATTTCTAGGGTGGATAAGGTCGGGAATGAAAAACTAACTAATTCGTAGTCAAGGTGTGTTTTATCAATAAGGTAGCCCGATATTTGGTATAAGGTAGTAGTGTACATGTTATGTCACTGTCAGGCGCAGACACGAAAATGGATAGGGATACAAGCTTTAAATCTAGGACATTTAGTTCCAAATACCAGCCGCCGCAAATGTCAATGTAAATAACCTACATCCAGGCGTTGACTTGCTTTCATCATTTAATGAGAATTATTTTGTGTAGAGGGGCTGGTTTTTAGAAACATGCATCTCGCAAAATGACAAAGACAAAATGAAATAATTTTACATAATATGAAAACATATCGCGAGTACTTTAAAAGTTAGCTCCTACGTGTAAAATGATAGTTTTTTAGAATAACGTCAGCGAATTGAAATTTCGACAATTTTTGTAATTCCGGTTTCAACTTCTTTCTTGTGGCTTTTGGGTAACATAAAGTCTAAGGGTAAAAGCGTCGTGTGACCCGGTACATGGTAATGGCAAAGGAAATGTCGGTAACAGTACAGGTGATAAGAGCTTCAACTCACTCTGCAACTCCCACACCCGCCCTTTAGTGTACATTTGGTGCCCTTTGGAGCAAATGTGTGCATTGTTGTCCTCCTGTGTATGTTCAAAGTTGCGGTACAATTGTCGTTCTGACATTCCTGTTGAGATGTTTCGTGGCTTGCGGCACGAGGTTAGAGATAAATGTTGTTGTGAACACCAGTTTCAGCACCAAGGACAGGGCCGCGTGTACGTACGCGCTAAGCGTTTCTGACAGAAAATGTCGGCCTGTGACAAGCCGGTTTGATCCGGGAGTACGGTTCCAGGCGCCCACTTTGAAGGCTGGCCGTTCTTTCAGTACTTTGATGTTTTACTTGAAGTTACCTCGCTCAACTTCTCATTTACGCAAGACTTTATCATCCATCTCTTTTATGAAATTAAAACAGAAGGGGGGGCTTAGAGTTGATCTTTCCAGTATTTTGGACGGGACATGGTTTGCAGAAACTTGAGGAAACTATATTTTATCATGTATCAATGTATTATAGGTTATCTTCTTATATCACTGTCTATAGGACGCATTTAAGAAGGCCTTGTTGCTAGTCTATTATTTGTGTATTTAGAACATCAAAAGTAGGACAGTTGGTCGTTCCTGTACCCACTTCAGTTCTTGTGTTGTAAAGCTCACTTAAGATGTAACATTATTAACTGAAAAGGTAGATAATTTTTTAAAACCTGTACATGTACCTTCATGTAGACGGTCTACCTACAGAATTGTCCACTTACATTTTTAGACAGATATCGGTGGATTGTAGCAAAAACTAATACCATACTTACCACACGAAAGGATAGAAGAAAGGCTCTGTCATGTGTAGTTCAAACTCTAGTGTCATAATCTATGAACTGTTTAGTACACAGAACCACCACTACAGCTTGGTACACGTTTTTGGTGATGTTGTTTGATGAACCCTATAATTTGAGGGGAGTGACCTAGAAATGAAACTAGGGCAAAACATCGGCGACTGAGAACTCGCTTGTGGGATTGCATATGTACGGTAAAGGAGTATTAAAGTCAGTCGATATGAGGGTGTTATTTTCCCATATATAAAATATATGTTGGGAAATAACAACCTCCTTCCTAGAAAGGTATTATTTTCTAACAGATACACTATCTATTGGAAAATAATACTTATCTATGTAAATAACAACCTCCCACCTAGCAGGGTGTTATTTTCCAATAGATTAACTATCTGTTGGAAAACAGCTCTTATCTATTGGAAAATAGCAATCTCCTTCCAACTTAAGTGATCCTTCCAGCCAATCAGATAAACTTAAAACCGTTCCCCTATTTATTATCTGAAACAAAATTAGACTGCCAACCGAATGAGAATTTGAAATGAATGAAGTCTAAAATCAGGAGAGATGTGTGAGTGAATGCAAATTTGCTTTCAAAATAACGGCTCAGACCAGACGTGGTAATTTCCGTCTCTCATACTCTCAGGAAGGAGGCTAAATGTATATAACTATAATTACCTATGGAGAGGAGTAGCAACTTTCGGGTTGCAAATACATTCTTCTGGTTCCATCTAACTGTAATTTGGGTACGATAATGGCATGTGATCAGTATCCCGGAAAATAACTCAGGGTTGAGGTATTCAAAGGTTCCTTCCTTCCGTGAACTATCGTTAAGTGTAGTAAATTGACTCCGAATTAGATAGATTTAGATTACACAACGTTTAGGATTAGGTTAAGTATGGCGGGTCAATATCACATAAATGAAAGACATTCATTTTATATCTATGCCCTTATATTAGCTTACGAGCTAAATACAGGTTATGGTGTACAAACAGTGATACAAGTCTGGTATGACTACATCTATAGCATACTAATATGTATAGGTTCAGCTTCTTCTCGCTTCTGAAGACAGTTGTAGGTGTAAGAACATATGGAGCTTATATGTGTGTGTGTGTGTGTGTGTGTGTGTGTGTGTGTGTGTGCGCGCGCGCATGTGTGAGTGTTTCTGATCTTACGTTAGTTTTCAAAGGGCATGATTGGGTTCAGTTTGTCCGAGAGTGAGAAAGTGAGAAAAAAGATGGAGGTGTGAGATCTCCAAAGTCTTGTTTCCTGTTAAACAACACAGATACAAAAGTGTTTATACAGAGTCACACACCTGTATAACCAGGCTGGGGGAGGCCAGGAGGAGAGACAGCACCCAGATGACCGCCACAGCACGGCGAGCCTTCCCGTACATGAACATGGCACGGGCCTTCATCGGGTGGAGGATACCGTAGTACCTGCAACACACACAGGTTCATAGTACATCAGTAAACCCCATTCTATTGTTATAAAATATCGGCGACAAATTTGATCTACAATGAAGCATGTCGTCTACCGACAAGGATAGACAAACACCAATTTCCTGTTTGACTGGGTTTTCTTAAGTTAAGACTGTTTTTCTCTTATTGTATTTAATGGATGGATGGATGGATGGATGGATGAATGGATGGATGGATGGATGGATGGATGGATGGATGGATGGATGGATGGATGGATGGATGGATGGATGGATGGATGGATGGATGGATGGATGGATGGATGGATGGATGGATGGATGGATTTGTTTTGATTTATTTTATCATTGGATAATGTATTATTACCTTTCAATGGAGATGCATGTGAGCGTGAGGACGGAACAGATGACCGACAGAAACTGCAGGAGTGCCGTGGCCTTACACAGGAAGCCGCCCAGCTCCCAGGCCGGCAGGAAGAACTCGGCCGCCTTGACGGGCACGCACAGCGCCACGATCAGCAGGTCCGCCGTGGCCAGGTTCCCCAGGAGGTAGTTGGTGGTGGAGCGGAGCCGCCGGAAACGCGCCACGGAGAAGACCACCAGCACGTTCCCGACGGTGCCGAGAAGGAAGCAGACGGCGTAGGTGAGGATGGTGGGGACGGAGACCGCCAGGTTCTCCAGGATGGCGGCTGCGCCCACGTACGGCTCGGGGACCGTCACGTTCGAACCTGTAGAGTTACTGACATTTTTCTCGGCCCTTTCGAAGTCGTCAAGAGCCGCCATTTCGTCTGTGACCGAGAAAATAAAATAGCGAAATATGATTTACTGTTTCTAGGGCAGCAATTTTCATATCATTTACTGTTTCTATGGCTGCAAACCTCATTCATCGTTTTAATTGATTTAAGTCATAAAGCCCAACCTTATCAGAGGCGTACGTGTGTAATACAAATCTTACAGTATCAAAGACGTATACAATTATGTACTAGTGCTTGTTGCACACCGAGTCACGTATTGGGCAGGTCTTTCATGATTCTCCAGTCATTAAAACACGCAGCTCCCTTTGATCCGAGCCCCTCTCATGTTCCTATGTCTAATCATGACATTTTACAAACTCTACAGCACACACTTAATTGCAGCGCGCTTCCGCAAACCCCGTTTGTACAGCCTCATCTAATTGCCATTAAGGCTTTCTACACAAATCACATCCCGGTACTCAAGTTGTTATCCGCACGAAAAACATAACGCCTGAGGCAGAACCATCTGTCGGTTATACAAGAAGACGTTATCTCTTTTTACATAACCAAGTGTTTTATTCAGCCGACGTTTCGGTGACCGTCTGTCACCTTCCCCATGGCAAATCTGAATTTTTATTCAGTGACTTACCAACCTAGTAAAACTACTCACGGAAGATGGTATCTTGTTATCGCTTGATATTCTGTTAGTAGTCTGAGTTAGTAGTGTTTCGTCGTGACAAAACGCGACGCTGAAAATATATGAATGATTAAAAGATCCATGCGTACTAAGGCATCATTTTCTTCCGACTTTGCACAAGCAAAATCAAGATCTAGAAGGGCGTAAACATTTAGAGACAGTGCTTTAATCAAAATTGTTTCGAGAGTTTTAAACCAACATTTAAACATTGACTGTACTTCTTTTGTACAGTTGGTGGCATCGTGTGGCGTAATGGTCGACGTCAGAGCGTTCGGCTCGGAACCAAGAGGTCCCGGGTTCGATCCCGACATGTTGTGCCCTTGCGAAAGGCACTTTACACGACTTTTCTACCTGTACGGTGGAGTGACGCCCATCGGACCTTTCGGCTAATTATAATCGTTGATACTGTGTCCAAACAATGATGAGGACACGGCATCAGGTGGCATGTGGATGTCTGCGTGACTTCAACAACAAAACAGAACTGTTTCTGACGTGCGCTGATGTAAATTTCATCATTTTCTTATCAATGCTGCTGTCAGTTATATCAAAATCTGACGCAGTTTCTGTAATCTATCTGATTCAGTCCCCATTGAAAAAGAAATCAGATTTGATTCAATCTTAAAAACGTAAACATTCTTTCGCTGATCTAGTTTTTCTAACCAGCTGGTGCTGCAGGCTCGGTGCTGGGGACCATATGTTAGCTGCATTCAAAGAAAGGTGCAACACTGGATTCCTGAATTGTTTTGTCAAAATCTATAAGGTTGCGTAGTAACAATTTTCGTATTTGTCAAACCTAGAAGGTTTAAAATGTAGATTTCCAGATTTTAAACCTCCTTGATCAAACCATACGATGGGAGTTTTTTTTGACCCAACAAAAAGTGCATCGACTTTCGTGAAGTCAACTACAAAGTACCAAATACAAAATAAATGTTCCAATTTTACTGACTATTGCCATGCGTTTAAAGGCATTAAAAGCCATTTCAAGGCGACAATAAAATATTCTGGATGAGAAAAAAAAATCTTCAGTTATTCAAACACTCACCTTGGACACGTGCTCACTCCAGTCTTTCCATGGTCTCAAATTTCAGTTTCACCAGTTGACCAGGTACGTAGGTCGTGGATTTCCTCTCTGTGAGATTTTGGAAGATGGAGGTAGAACATAAATATATACTTCCCTTCCGACCCAAGAGGCTACAGCTACTCTCGCCAAATGTTTCCTCCGTAGCCTCGAGAGGCACTCAGCACTGGTTCTCTCTGGGACTTGGCTTGAATAACTCCTATATAAGTACACGGCTGGTTTGATGTTGACCCCAGGTGGAAATTCAAACATGAACCACAGCATCTGGCCTTGGACCAACCAATTAGTCAAATCACGGGGTTGACCTGGCATATCTTTTCTTTGATTTTTCTACTTCGCTTCTTGTCGTGCTTCAGTGAACATGAAATGAACTTTAAACAGGAAAAAGAAGTCCTCATAAAGAAACTATAAAATGTACAGCGATTCTTGGAATTAAACCTTAGCAATAACCATATTAAGTATTTTCCTTGCTGAATTTTTTCGACAGGATGTTTTTTTCTGGATGCAGCAGTGAAATCACGTTTCTCACCCACACAGTTTGTCAAAATTGCTTTACGTGATCTTGTGTTGCAAATCAACACTAATTTAAGTCTATTTCCACATGTTTACCGGGCTTTTTAAACACACAGTCGCATGCGAATAGCTGTAATTCCGGTACGTAAGTAGTTACAGACAAGTAGCGCAGTTAGCCTGCAGAGTGCACATCCGCTGCTGCTAATCAACCACCATTGCCAGTCAGCATGCGTACACGGGAAATGATTTACTCGAAGCGAAACGGAGGTCTAAAAATTACTGCGTAAGAGAAATCAACATTCTCTTCACAGGCTAATAGGCAGTGACTAAAACGCAGAAGGAGATTTTCTACAAGTGCGGGGTCACAGCTTTCGATTACAGACAGTTTATATAAACATCCAACAAGTTCTGTTTTTGCGTCACTTGCCTTGCTCTTGGTACTGTGTTTTATAAATCATAGTTAGCGGCGACACGGGGGTAACTAGAATGACTTGCGTCTGGCTATCTGCTGTAGAGACATGTTGACGTGATAAAAATATCCAGCAACAAAATATCTTTTTTGTTTGTTTCAAGGTTTTTTTAAGTCACTCTCAATTGATGTGATTAAGCATGATGTCTTTTTTACGTAGCTAGTAGTAGTCATGCGGCTCGCTACTGCAAGAAGGTTCACATAACGTCCTTGCATGGCTACGTACTGCATCCTAACTCAGTTATTAATGCCGTCTTGTCACGCAGTACATCGTGCTTCTAGATGAGTCCAGTTATCAGAAACTGACGCATCCTCCGGAGCGTGAAGAGATCTTCAAGAGGAACTCTGTGAAAATTGTTTTCCTACTTCTTCTGTTAAAACACCCAATATTTAGCAGGCCGGCCGGTCAAAAGCCCCGCAGCAGAATGCACGTCATACGGATTTGCAGCGCTCCAACGGTCTCTATTTGATGATTTCAAAGGAAGACCTTTGATAAAGGGTAGTGAACTGCATAGCCTGGGGCCGGGGAGGCTAAATTGGCCTGTAGGAAGAAATTGTAGCTTTCTGCGGGGCATTCCCCCAGGCGGGTATACTTAATGACTTCTCCGGAAAAACGCACGTAAACCACGAGAGAGGGCGGAGAACTTTTGAGTTTGGACTACTTTCTGGAACAAACAGTTCGCGTGTGGCAACGTTTTTAACTCTATCAACATTAGTGGCTACCGTTGTACATGTTAACAGATATGAGCCATCGTCGATTTGCTGTAAATTGTTACTTTCCTTCTTTCGGCTGAACTACGAGTAACAAGTGGCTTAGAAACGAAGTTATTACCAGCTACAGACCCCAGTCTGACCCTCATCTCACCCCAATCTTATATGATGTTTTTAACTCAAATGTAGTGTGAACCTGGTGGTAATATACTAACGCTGCAAAATGTCCTATCTTTAGCACACCTTAACTTAACGGTATACGCCAGTGAAATAAACCTTTAAGGCGTGCTTACATCAATGTCTATCTCGCTCTCTAATTGTGAAAACATTTTTGTTCAATTTTGTATTCGTATTCCTTATTTAGCACGTAAATAGTTAATACCAGTACAAAGTAAAATACACAGGAAGAGTGTGCTGAGGGATCCGTGGCCTTCCCCAAAAACGAAAAAACAAGCATGCAAACTTAAGAAGATAAGAAAAACGATAAACAGAAATAGAAATACATTCACAGCTTCTCGGGTTAATTATGCTGAACACATACAATCAACAAATGCACAAAAACCCTGTTGCAGTACCATTGGAAATAGACAGGTGAACCATTTTTGAACTCGACCTACATTTTTACAATAGCTACCCACATAACAAATATCAAGAAGATCCATCCATAACTTCTTGAGTTAAAAAGTTGATCTACATATACAGATCCACATCACAGTAACTCCACCAAGCACGAACCGTAAACATACCCTTCTGACAAAGGCAACAGCAGAGAACACTTAATTAATACACGGACATCATGCCAGGCACGATGTCTTTGGACAGAGCAATCTTGATAGGGCCTAACAAAATAAATGTTGTGTTTCCTATTACAGTCCAGAAAAAATTAGGGTCGGTAGGTAGGGATTCTACTTTTTTTTTTTTTTTTTAGTTAGTCAAAGCCGGACAATGAACGTATGA